ATTGAATGTTACTGTTTTCAGTCATAGTGGGAGTCTCCGAATGTATCATTAATTTTTTATTGGAACAAGGTGTCGACCAAAAACTGAAGGATAGATACGGATTGGATTTCGACCGTCATCGGGAACTAGTTGAAGAATTCAAAAATTTTTGACAAACAGATTGTGATGAACCATCAATATATTATGGTCCTCATAAAAATCTACCGACAATGAAAAATGATGAGGAGGACTTGAAATATTTGCTTCTTATGATAGGTAATGAGGAGGAGTCACGACAATGACTCTATATCGTATGATCATGTCAACATAGCCGACTAACGTCACAAACTCGGTCACAGATTAACAAACTGTTAATCTGTGACTCGGTCAAACATTAGAATGCGCATTCTAATCTAATATGGCGGTAAAATCGAATTTGTACGTACTTAATTCTATATTGATTTGCATCAAACGAAATAGCGAATCATTATCGGGATGACCAGTAAACGTTACCATGCACAGTATTTGTAGTATAATTCGAAGAAAAAGTAGGTCGATACAGTGTTTTATAGATCATTATACTAGTGCGAAAACATGTACAGTGTGTCCAGTTTTCGATGCTTTTGTGTGATATCTCAGTTATCGAGATAGAACCTTGCGGGTTTCGCGGTCGTGTGCCACTTTTTTGTGAAACTCAAGATGACCTAATCAGATTTTGCATAACTGTTTCCGTTTATGAGATACAGGGCGATTTTGAAAATTTATACTTTTTGGACCCCCTCTATATCTACGAAGTTTCTCAGCAAAAATGGCAAATTTGAATCTCATCCCATATGAAAGTTTACGCAGAATCCAGTGGCACACTTAACATTTTTTTTCGGGGTATGGTTTTGGAGATACGACTCGAACTTATGATTTTTTAAATGGAACACCCTGTATTTTATATGCTCATAAAATTCCTCATTTTTTTCTCTTCGAAATGATTTATATTGTATGTATATGAAATTTTCAAAAATGCTCTGAAATCACTGAAACATTGAATTTTAATAGTGGGCTATGGATTTTTCTTATAAAAAAGTTCCAATTGAAGGAATATTCATTTTGATTTTTCCATAAAGAGGACAAAAACAATACCAACACTAATTAACTAAGAAAACACAAAAATTATGTACCTGATAGCAACAAATAAATAGTAATAAAAAGTTCATAATGTAGAATAAGCACCAGATTGAATATTTACGAATACAATTGAATTTCGGAATTATTCAATAACTTATTCACTGAATTGTTCAAATTGATGTCCATTTCCCATAACACACAATTGACACAGTTTCTCAATACGTCTTGATACAGTAAGAGTCACAAATATCTTGAAGACCTTCGTGCAACAACAGAGACAGTTTTCCAGGAATTACAAAGATATCCTTTAATGATTTTGAATGCATTAAGACGTATTGAGAAAGCGTGTGAGGGAAAGTGGACATCAATTTGAACAATTCAATCAATAAGCAACTGGTTAATTTCGAAATTCAATTGTCTAAGTGAATATTAAATGAGGTGCTTATTCTAGAATATGAACTTTTTATTACCATTCATTTGTTGCTATCAGGTACCAAATTCTTGTTTTATCTCAATTAACTAGTGTTGGGATTGTTTTTGTCCTTTTCATGGAAGAATCAAATGAAATATTCCTCCAACTGGAACTTCATTTAAATGGAAAATTCATAGCCCACTATTAAAATTCAATGTTTTAGTGATTTTGGAGCATTTTTGAAAATTTAATACCTATTCATCATATTTCATTTTGATGGGGAAAAAATATGGAATTTAATGAGCTTATGAAATACAGGGTGTTCCATTTGAAAAATCATAAGTTTGAGTCGTATCTCCGAAACCATACCCAGAAAAAAAATTGAGTGCGCCACCGAATTTTGCGTGAAATTCTGTAATGGATAAGATTCCAATTTGACACTTTCGCTGAGAAACTTCGTAGATATAGAGGGGGTTCAAAAATTATGAATTTTCAAAATCGCCCTGTATCTCATAAACGCATACAGTTATGCAAAATCTGATTAGGCCATCTTGAGTTTCACAGAAAAGTGGTACAGGACCGCGAAAACCGCAAGGTTCTATCTTGAAAGATAACTGAGATATCACCACGCAAAAGCATCGAAAACTGGACACACTGTACATTTATACTGAAAGCATCTCTAATTTACAGGTGCAACTGTAAATTAGGCAGAAGAAACTTTTTTTTCAAATTATCTCCTAATTTACAGTTGCAACTGTAAATCAGGCAAATGTTCGTGGAAAAAGTTTTTTTAGGATGGCAGTTCAGACGCGTCGTACAGTTCAGACGCGTCGTATGAATTTATCTGCAATTCGAATAATTTTTCAACTAAGTTAGCTGTGGAAAACAACATTTCTGAATATTATCGACAAAATAATTGTGTTTCGCTGTCTTTCATTGTCACTGTGAATATCCTTGACCACATCTCATTTATCCACGAGGTAAAATAGAAAACAATTTTAATTAAAATGTTAAAAAAAAATGACATTCTCTCTCGAGTGCTTTGTTCTCCAAAGATATCGGTCGACTCATAAATTAATCCATGCTCCTTATAGATTATAGATTCCATGTTCAGCTCTGATGGTGGAAGTAAGTGGGGTTCACTTCCCTGAACAACGATTCTATAAAATATGTTAGACATTTTGAGAATGATGTTTTATGTACGGGATGTCATGACACTGATGATGTTCTATAAAAAATTTAATCCACTTTCATTCTCTCTTCAACCAAAAAATAATGTTTATTTCGAAATTGTTGAAACATCAGTCAGTATAATAGTATAGGCATATCATACATAAAATATTCCTGAATAAGGAAGCATCAAATTTTACAGAAAGGTAAAATCACAATGGACTGAGGATTTACTAATTTCCTGCTATGAGTGAAAGTTGTTGTTTCGGATACAACAAAAAAATTGAAGTGAATTGAAAAAAATATATTTACGCGGGCCGTAAAGTACTTCTCTGTTCTCAAATTCTTGGTTTCTGACTAGTAAAAAAATTCGAATTGTGTCAGCATTCGTATGAAGTACAATGGGAGACATTTCGGTGGGTTTGCCAAACGAATGGCAAGAAGATGATTTTCTAGTGGGGATTATGAATGAATTATGTCATACTTTAGTATATATCTGTAACAAAAAAAGAAATAGTTGAAATAAATGTAGGAAAATTGAAATTATAACTACCATACGAGCACTAGAAGAAACATTTGTACAACAACATGTTAAAGAATTATTCATTTCAAAAATATACCTAAGTAAGTGGGTTCCAATTGAAAAAATGAACTTTTGACCACTTGTATGAACAACGGATATAATAATAATTTCAGCACGCCCTGTATGATATGGAGGCGATTTCTGGGTGTAAATTGATACACCAAGATTGTCCAAACCACCACTAAAATATCAACTCTTCATGAATTGAGAGCCCAGGGATATGTTTTTGGATCATATTTAACACAAATTATTTTTTATCTCGAAAACCGATAGAGATAGGTATATAGATTTATCAACAAAAGAAAATTGTGATGAAAATTTATCAATATACGGGGTGTGCCATTTAAAAAAATGAAGTTGCCCAGCGAGCACAAACATCCCTGGGATGTTTTGGGATGTTTTGAAAATGTTGGTATGAAGATGTTATTTTGAGACGTAATATTGCACTGACCAAAGAGGTCTTCGAAGGATATTGAAGTATTGTTTATGTTCTTCTGTGGCATTTCTTTGTTTGCCTACTGAGAGGTATCCCTGGGATGTTTTGGGATGTTTTAGAAATGTAGGCATGAGGATGTTTTTTTGAGGCGTAATATGCACTTCCCAAAGAGGTCTTAGAAGGATATTGAAAGTATTGTTTTGTTCTTTTGTGCCCTTTCTTTGTTTGCCCCAACACAACGTCTCATGCTTACGTCACAATACGATGAATTCTGATTTGTTTTCGATTTTGTTCTTCTTGTTTGCAATTGGCATTCGCGTTTGCAGCGTACGTGTCACGCTTACATCACGCTGCTAACGAACAGAAAGGAATTTGGTGAAGTTTATTGTGTTAAAAGACTTATTTAGTTTGTAATAATGACCATCAGATGCAAGATGTGTTGTTCGGTGCCTCAGTGTAATCAATATATAAAAGTACGAATTCATCAATACACAGCTTCTCCGCAGTTGCAAAATTATGCATTGTGGAGAACATTTAAAAAATTGAGAAACCTATTTCCAATCATATGTCTGTGTGTAGTAAGCATGCACTACTCAGAAATGGAATCCTAATGCAAAAGTTCATTTTGACGAAAGGCTTCAGAAAAGTACCTCGAAAATGGTTTTTTACAGCGATTCAATGTGCGCAAGGCGCGTTGAAAATGTTCTGTTGTGTCCATGAAAAGGCCTTAACAAGAACTAGGGAGAAGGTAGTTTTGTGACATATCAAGGACATCGCGATAATTGCCGCCTGCGGCGGACATTGGCTGTTCTATAATAGTCCTATTCATGTGTGAACAGAACATCGCAGTGGAGGTTCAATGTCTCGAAATCTCGTACTTTTAACATCTTTGAGATGTTTTTGTGCTCGCTGGGTGCTAGGAATTTTTATGTAAGATGCGAAATGTCGAGAAAAATCCTGCGTTGCGTTCTCCATAAACGTCTAACCTACCATCGACCGTGAGTTACCCTGTATACCAGGATCACTCGCTCACCTCTTCTATCGACAATCATTATGATACCATCACCAGGACTACTGGTAAGCGATATTCAACCTTGAGTGCAACTCGCGAGTAGAAATCACGGAGACGGTGACCAAGATTAGAAAGTCCAGGCCTGGCGGATATCGAATTGTCAGAATTATTTTCTTCAGAACAGTTTGTGAAAGAATATGAGAATGTTAATGAACTTTCCGGGACGTAGACTCGTTAAATCGTGACACGAAAACGCTGGATATCCAAAAATGAGAAAAATAGTGCCAGGATGAAAATTGTGTTGTTTTCGGTTTTACTAATCTCTTCCCATTCAGGTGAGTGTTCATCATTATGTCGAGACCATATTCTGTGAATAATAATGTATGTATAATGTATCGAATCTACCGTATGTTATTGTCATTGACCTGATACCTGCGTGACAAATTTTTGGGTGTTGAATTTTGAGTCATTCCCTCATAAATACCAAAGTATTTACTTCATAAATATATTGTACGACGATTCAATATAGGTATTATTCTAGTAAATGAGACGATGACTATTGAATAATAAATATAGAAATGAAACAATGTAGAATGGACCAAAACGCACCGATATGTGAAAAAATATTTCAATTTGATCCGGGTCGTAAAAATTCTTGATCTGTCCCGGTCATGGACGTCCCGGTTTATGAAATTGTATATGAACGGTTTGTTCCGAACTTCGAAGGTTCCAAAGGTAGGTAGCTCAGATTTCAAAATTCCAAATTCAATCAACAAAACAATAGTGGAGAAATTTCATTCTTAATTTGAACGCCCTTTTCCTCTGGATTCAGACTTTTTCTTCAAATTTATCAAACTTTTCGCTGATATGTTGAATACAGGGTGTTTCAAATATAATAATAATAAATCGTCATTTGCATAAAAAAAAAACTGCACAAAAAAATCAAACAAAGATATTTTGCCAAACATTATACCTATCTGCAATGGTGAATAGGTGGAGTATCAGCAAAATGCTGTTTTTCAACTCAACCCCAACACAGCCGAAAATCAAGGACACGTATTCCTATTCGTTTCCGAGTATATATATGTACAGTGTGTCCAATTTTCGACGCTTTTGCGTGATATCTCAGTTATCGTTGGAGATCGAACCTTGCGGTTTTTGCGGTTCTGTACCACTTTTTCGTGAAACTCTAGATGGCCTTATCAGATTTTGCATAACTGTTTCCGTTTATAAGATACAGGGCGATTTTGAAAATTTATACTTTTTGTACCTATACCTCCTGTATATGTACGAAGTTTCTCAGCGAAATTGTCAAATTAAAATCTTATCCTATTCGCGGTGGCCAAGATCATTATCTGACGTTGCGATGGCATGAAAAACTTTTGGAAAACATGTCTAACTTTCAATCTAAGCCAGGAGTTGGGAATGATTTCCCATAGTTTTCATGTCATCGCAATGTTAGATGATGACCTTGGCTGCCGCGAGAATTTCACACAGAATCCGGAGGCGCACTAATTTTTTTTCGGGGTATGGTTTTAAAGATACGACTCAAACTTATGATTTTTCGAACGGAACACCCTCTATTCTATAAGCTCATTGAATTCCCTATTTTTTTTCCCATCAAAATGGTATATAATGTATGAATACAAAATTTTCAAAGATACACCAAAATCGCTACAATATTGAATTGTAGTTGAGACGGGCCATGAATTTTTCAAAAAAGTTTGAAGAAATATATTTTTTTTGATTATTCCATGAAGTGGACAACACTATAATCAACTAACAAAACATAGAACTTAGTTACCCGATAACCATAGTGTTGTCCATTGTAGTTACACCTCCACATATCATGATTGTAGTCTCCCTGATGATGAAAATAAAGAGGAAAAAGATGTTAGATAGTTTGGATTAACTTATTTAAAGAGTAGAAATTTTTAAATTGCTGCTATGCCCAATATACACTGGTTTCTTTTAGATGTAATACATATATATCTCTGGTTTCCTATACAGAATGCAACTTGAAAATACATTTTGTTCGATAACTGGGACATGGTAAACCGGCCCGGGAAAACAAGCACTGGCGGCCTGGCCTATAGATACCTTATCTTAATAAAAAAAAATGTTTTTATATAATAATCTATTTTTTTGTTAGATGAACCTATGGGTCTTTATGAGAGAAAAAAAAAAGAAAAAATGTGCTTCGCTTCAAGCATTTAATATGAAACAGTAGGAAACATTGTGTATAAAACTAAAGAAATAAACTCTACACAGTTATACGAAACAAGCACCAAGTAACAAAAGACAAATGATAACATCGAGGAACTTAAATAAAAGGAAAGGAACTAAACATTTGGCATACATTGCAAAATAAGAAAACAACGGAAAATCTAAAACCTAATGAATCCAATCCAAATTATATTTTATAAAAAATAGTGCAAATTAATAAGGATTTAACGAAAAAGTAATCTTTTCATTAAAGCGCTCTGTCCAGCTAAGGCTAAAGCATTGATAACTTCTTTATTGTCAACCTGGTTCAACACAGTACGTTCAATATTCATTAACATGAATGACTCAAGTCCATTATCAGATAAGGAATTTCTTAAGCGAGTTTTTATAAATTTAAGAATAGAGAATGACCTTTCACATTGTACTTGAAATATGGGAAGCGTTAAAAGGTAGTGATATGCAGTAAATAGCGAAGAATAGGCCCCCTGAAACATATTATATTTTGTAATAACAGAATAGCAGCATATAGCACAATTTTTACAAGCAGCCGATTCTTTGGAATTGGGGACACTATCAGATTCTTCTTCAACGTCAATCTCTATGTCCTCAATATCTGACCTCTCTGATATTATATAAGTATCTTCGATGGTCAATTTGAATCTGTTCCAGTTTTTTGAAAAGTTGAGAAGTTCTTCTCTTAAATTTTCAGGAGTAGCAGACGAATTATATTTGATGATTTTCGCAGAAAGTCTTTCCATACAAGCTGAAAGCGATTCAAGAGAGTCATTGCATGCAATTTGTTCGAAGTTTTTTGGGTCTAAAGCAGCTAAATCCCTACATAAATCCATATTTTTTGAAAACCTTGTCTCCATCGAGTTCAATGCAGTGTCCATCAAGATATTGAAGGTATTCACTCTGAACTTGTCTACTTCCGTATTTGGTTGTTCATCGATAGTTGCCTCATCAAAAAAAGTCTTAACCCTTCTACGACGAACTTCTTGAAAGTTCTCCTCAATTGTTGCATCTATTCCTTTTGAAATAAGTTCTGCTTTAGCCCATGTTATAAATTTTTCCGTAGCTTCACTAATACTATTTAAGTCTCTTTGGAATGAACGTAGATCATTTATAGCTGTTTCAATCATACCGTTACACTTGAGCAGATCTAAACCTTTAGTTTGCAAATACCTTGAAACAGGACCGGTAATACTGAATATTTTTAAAAATATCGAAGATGATTCTTTTTTGACTTGGACCGAACCGGCCCGAAAGCAACCGGCCCTTCGGGAAATTTCCCGAGTGCCCAGCCGGCCCATCCGCCCCTGGGCACATTAGATCTGATTCGAGAGAGTAGTACAGGGGAGTAGATTTTATGATTATATTCAGATTTCTTCGTTCGTCCAGATACATCACTTTGAACTCATTTCTCAATTGGAGAGTTCTTACTATATATTCTAGTCGGGATAATTTCGATATTTTTAATAATACATATATCTTAGAACTTTGTTTTGAATTTTTCCTATTTCAAATAGTGTAGTTTGATATTCTCCTTGCCAAATTTTTGAACCGAATTCGTGTTTAGATCTGACTAGAGTGAAATACAAAGTCTTTATAGTTTCTATATTGGTAAATTTTGATGTCTGCCTAATTATGAAGCCTAACAAACGGTTTGCTGCTTTGGTTATATTTCTCACATGATTCGAAAAAGATATCATATGGTCATATGTAATACGCATCAGGTAGGTATTATTTGATTTTAGTATCGAATTGATCACGAACGAAAAATATTTATTTTCAAATATTTTGGTGATAAAATAAATAATACAAGAGAAAATAAACTGAATATGGTAAAACTTGATAATTCACCACTAAATGTTCCTTACTCAATCCCATTTAGAACTATGCATTTTTTCGGATTTCTTCTATCGTTTTTCCTTTTTCAATAACCCAACTACTTGATTAAGAGCTCGGATAGGTTCGTTCACGCCTGTACAAAATCAATGTGCTGAGCTGAAAAGAACCTGTATAAACTTTATCTGTTCATGGTATAAGTATTTTTACCTACTACCAATATGTAATGTGAAATATTACGACACTGATTTTAGTATCGTAATGAAATACTTCACCGCCCTAGTGCGGTAAAGTAAAAAAATATAATTTCAAATTTTATTTTTACTCAAAAAAAAAGGAATAAGAACCAATTTATCATGAATATAGCAGGTACTAAAGTTTCGGTTGCTGTATTCGCCGCAATTTCTAAATCGGAATCTAAACTTTCCTGATCCGAATTCATACCGATGATTTTTTTTTCGAATTGGAATTGACGCGCCAGAGTTGACAGTTCGCCGAATGAGTGACAACCGAGAACACAATAGATTCTCGACAACCATACGCTCAACCCTTGCAACGCTTGCTTGTTCCATATTTTTAATGAATCGTCAGTTCAAGGAATATTGAATATTTTTGATTAAATAATTAGCTTTTTGGTAGTAGGTGAAATATTGTACAATATTCGTATCGTAAACTCATATTACGATATCGTAATATGAGTCTTTACGATACTCGTATCGTAAATATCTATTACAGTACTGTGCCAAGATGAAGACGGTCCTTACAGAGGAAACTATCTAGGAAAACTAAATTCCTACCATCATCAAGTGTCCGGCGACATTTACGCGGTAAACGATTGGACATTGCTAGTGACATCTTTCAACTACGATGGAAATGGCGCAGACACGTTTTTCTGGGCTGGGGCTGCAAACAGGCCTGGACCGCAGGGTTTTATAGTGCCCGACAAACACGGCAAGTGAGTATACAAGGTGATTCAGTTTTTTTTGCTTCCAGAAAATGAAATATACCGGGTGACACAGGAAACATGTAACAGCCTGTAGTTTTTTTATTTGAAGAGATTAAAATTTGAAATTCACAAGGGTTTATTATCGATGATTTTTTTTTTTCAAATGGCACTCCGTATATTTCTGTAGCCTATCATATTTGCCTTGAAAGTCTCTATTCAACTATGTATCACAATTCGATATTCGTTCATGAATTGGCTGTTAAATTGCATTTCATTGAAATACCTACATGAAGTTGGCTGTGGCCCGAATGCAATGACATTTCGATGCTTGATAGGCTTAGAAATCCAAAGATCATTACGTAGACGATATTATCAGATCGAATATTTTCCATACCCTAATCGGTCCCAGAAGATTGCCAATAATATCATTGAGTTTAAAAAAATCATCCAAAAATAACTCTCGATATTGAGAAAACTAAGATAGAAACTCAGTTTTTTTCATTTGGCTACTTGTGAAAAAACTATTTGTCTTTCATTTCTGCCATGTAGCCAAACTGAAATTGTTGTAATAATTGATGTATCGTTCTAATATCTTGAGTTATTTTCGGATGATTTTTTCAAACTCAATGAAATTATTGGCAATCTTCTGGGACCGATTTTAGGGTATGGAGAATATTCCGATAATATCGTCTAAATGATGATCTTTGGATTTCTGAGCCTATCAAGCATCAAAATGTCATTGTATTCGGGCCACAGCCAACTACATATTATGTATTTAAATAAAATGCAATTTAACAGCCAATTAATGAACGAATATCAGGGCAAATAAGATGGACTACAGAAATATACGGGGTTCCATTTGAAAAAAAAAGTTGGGTATGCTTCCAATCAAACAGGTGGTTGAAAAAAATTGTCATTGGGTTCAAAGGAAGCGTCGATAATATAACCCTTGTGAATTCAAATATTTTTTATCTCTTTAACTAAAAAACTACAGTCTGTTACATGTCTCCTCGATCTGTACCACCCGGTATATGGTGTTCCATTGATGTTGCAAGAAACTCCGAGGTCAGATTCTTTGGGAGTATTCCCAAGAACTTATAACCTCCAAAAGTCAAAAACAAATTCCAACACCTACTTCCTCTCCCTATCCTTCCTAGTTACACACGATGTTCAACGGATATCGAAGAAATTTCCTTTCGTGCACTCTAAGAGATAAAAAAAGGCTTCAAACCGATTTTGAATATTGATATTGTTGAATTTCCAGGGGCCGGCCCCACGGGGAGAGTCCGTTAAAGTTTTATATCTAAAAAAATAATAAAAGTGTGCTGATAAATACACAACAAAGAAAATATTAGCATCTCCTCTCATCTCATCTCACTTTTTTATAGGAATTTGTCATCTTAGTTTTTCAGGTTCTACCTGAATCCGAAAGATTTTCCACAATTTCCCGGATACTCTGTATATATAACAGACATATCGCTTGAATAGGAAATCTATAGTGAAATCCTGTACTATAATTTCGAATTATAACTCAAAATTGAGCTGATTTCGAGTTATAATACGAAATTTTGATTCATCCCGAGTCCATTGATGTAGTGTAGTAGTCCTGAGATATTAATTGTTATACATACATATATTTTCCATGGCATTTTTAGTTGAATAATCAATACGTTTTTCATCTCTTGGAGCGCACGGAAGGGATTCCCTATAATGTTTGGAGAACATCGTGTGTACCTAGGGAGGAAAGGGAATACTTCCTTCAGCAAAGAATTCTAGAGCTTTGCCGTTTTACAGACAAACGAGTTTTGGTAAAGAGTTGCTCGACATATTTCGAATTTGACGACGAAAGGATGTGCTCTGCCTGGGCTTGTTGATCTCGTCTGCCTGGTATTTCAGAGTTCGGAAGGAATGAGATCGTATGAGATTCAAATTTGGCATCGCAGGGGTTTAGGGTTCGAGACTTGGAAAGTTTTGCAATATTTCTCAGGAAGTGATGGAAAAGTATTAAATATCGAGAAATTATACAGTTCTTGAATCCAACACCTCTGCCCTGCCAAGTTTGAATATCAAACCTAGAGAACTCTGGAAACCATGTCTTGTCTAATGAATACTTTGACAGCCGCTATAGGCACGCGACCGGTGAAAAATATAATACAAGGTGAAACATTATGATTTTCTTACACAAGTACATATTTTTTTTAGGACAAATGTTTTGGAGAGGTACTTCAACCAAGACTTCACCTTAGTCCTTCCTGATAAAAAAACAATCAACGATATCAAATGGTTTGCTATCTATGATATTTGGAGCCAAAACACTTTTGGGGACATCTATATTCCAGAAGGTTAGTCGCTCGTCCCGCGAAATAACATCGTTGCTCAATTTCAATATAAAAAATCAATCGATATTCAGTGACACTTTGTTTGAAATTTTTTTGAAGAAGATGAATATTTGTGTACTTATTGAATAACTGTGAAATTCCACTTATCTTTGGGTGCTTCTGGAACTAATTTGCTCTTGTTTTGATCATAACAATGGAAAATAATTATTGATATTGATTTCTTCGTCTTTATATTTTGACACTTCTGAGTGACAAAAGTTGTCAGGAAATTGTGTTGTTGTGTTGTGTGTTGAGTTGAAGGGTTTTTTCAACTGATTTTGAATTTACCATTATTTTCCGTACTCATATTTTAGGAATTAATACTATGTTTCTATCTCCGTTCAGAATAATACGAGCAGATTCTTCGATTTTAACTTTTTTGGTGTTAAATATATCTTCTCTTCTTACGATTTTTAATATAATTCCACTCCAGCGTATGTTGTACTTCTTCAGTAAGGATACAAATATGTTCATGAGTTCAGGTATCTAATATTTTCATTTGTCGAAATATGTCTTTTCTTCATATTGTATTTATGTTCTTCCTTCTTAATTGAGAGAGGTCTCTTTGTTTCGCTTGTATGATACTTTCCACGAACACAAGGTATACACTGTATAGCATATATATATGGTGATCCACGGTGGATGGCCTATTAGAAGTATCTGGAGAACGAAAAAACAGAACATGAAAATTGGGGTGCTTCAATAATTGAACATTTTCTATCCGTCTAAAATATTTTCATCGATACAGTGTTGCCACTTCTATCACAAAAAACTAGCAACTTCGTTATTTCAAAAGAAGCATTCTGTATTTTATTGCATTCTTAGATTCTTCCTGAAGAGCTGATTTTATCAATGCATCACACTTGGGGTCTAGCAGGTATGATTACAGGGATATAGGGTGTTCAAAATCGAGATTTTTCAATTTTAGGATTTTTCTGTGTCGAAACTATTCATTATCGATAAAAACGGCTCACATGTCCCTGTCTTAACTTTCGATTCACTATCTACTGACATTTAATTGGAAACAGATACAGGGTGATCAGAATTCTGAATCTTGAAGTACCCTGTATTTTTTCCAATTGAATTCCAGTAGATATATAGTGAATCAAAAGTTAAGATAGGGACATGCAAGCCGTTTTGATCAATAATGAATAGTTTCGACACGAAAAAATCCTAAAATTGAAAAATCTGCATTTTGAACACCCTATATATCTCTGGTAATCATTCCTGCTAGACCCCAAGTATGATGCACTGATGAAATCAGCTCTTCAGAAAGAATCTGAATATGCAATAAAATACAGGGTGTTCTATTTGAAATAACAAAGTTGCTAGTTGTTTCTGATAGAAGTGGCAACACTGTATCGATGAAAATATTTTTGACGGATAGATAATGTTCAATTATCAAAGCATTTCAATTTTCAGAATGTTCTGTCTTTTCGTTCTCCAGATACTTCTAATAGGCCATCCACCGTGGATCACCCTGTATACATACCTACAATTTTTTGAAGATTGTTCTTCTTTTTTTTTTGTTGTGAGTAGGAAATATTCTGATTATTGTATTTTCAGTCTTCAGTCCAGTTTTCACTTGAAAATTATCAACAGTAATATACCTCGTTCTGAATATTCGAGCTGATTCTGTCGCTTTTGTTGTTCAAGAAAGTGTGTTGCCGAGCGACACCACGCGAGTCCGCCAGGACGAGTAGTATTGCGTTCGGCAACACAATTGAGTTACAATAAAAGACAGAATTATGAGAAGATATTCAGAACAGATTGTTATTCTGCCAGACTATTCACGAAGCATAAGAAGCATTCATCATAAATAAACAAGCCATATTACAGCAATAATTATTTCATGTGAAAATTTCATACTTTTCTTCGCTATCCATAGTTACATCGTTGAAAACACCACCATCGCTGAAAGAACAATGTTGATTGATCGAAAGACAGCTCGTGTTTTCACGATAATATTTGGCTTGCGATTGGTCAGATCAAGTGAGAATCTCAAGATGAGTGAAAAAGTCACCAACACTCAACACCTCTTAGAACAGCTCTGTTTTGAGATAATTTCGAATTGAATGTTCATAGAAATGTTATTGCAGGATGAGAATATTCTATGATAACAATAAATAACTCTAAGTCTGATGATGTTCTATTTATTCCATTTGGATCATTTTTTTAGGTTTTGAACCTCCCACTATCCAAAAAATATCCTCATTAATAGGAAAAGTGAATGGTATAACAACTGAATCAGTCGAAATATTGGATGCGAAAAGGATAAGACTGAACCAATTTACGTACGACGGAAAAGCAAAAGGAGCTTATTTTTGGGTCGGTGTTGGAGCCCAAGCAGTTGCTAAAGGATATAAGGTCCCCGACGAATATGGATAGTAAGCATAAAATCATAATATCGAAAATCAATGACGTCTACAGAATATATATTCGATAATTTCAAGAAAAAAGTTTGCGTTTCACAAAAAAAACTGAACATGAAGCACCAATTATCAACCAAATACATATTCCAAAGTATAATTAGGATATCGAGAAGGAATATTCTCAGATATATTATGAACATACTCTACACATTATTTTACCACTAACCAAACCGATACGTGTTTCGCTAACTATGTTATTAGCATCTTCAGGAGAAGATTAACTTGGCGGTTATTGTCTATTTACGGTAGACATATACCTAGTATATAAGTAGCCCACTAGGATAGAGCATTAAGTATCAATCTTCTCCTGAAGATGCTAGCTTAGTTAGCGAAACACGTGTCGAAACTTCATATTTGAAGATTCTGATTTGAGTTATCCAACCTGTGCTAACCCTTCTATTTTGATTCTAATCCAAAATTGATTTTATTCACAGTATGAAATAGTTTTAGTAAGCTAATTGAAATAAATCAATTCGTGGCAAACATGTTTTTTCCCAAAGGTATTGCACAGATATTTTTCAATTTTGGATTGTAGTCGATAGACGGGTTATTATACATGTTGAACAAAATTCTTAAAAGTAACAATGTCTCTGAAACTATCAATATGAGGTCATATATTGTGATATTCTGGTCAGTCATGAGCTGGACTAGCAGCCCTCCAAAGTTGAGTTTTGGGACAGCATGTATATAAGGAATAAATATACATTGAGAACTCGCATTCTCTATATGATGAAAATACAAATTCTTTCTCGGTGTATTCAACAGAAAACAACTACTTTCCTGGCTATATTCCACGACGAACATTGATTTATATCTATTGAACACACAATAAGACAAGAATTTGAAAATGAAATCTTCTGAAGTTGAGAATTTTGCATTCTCCTTCAGATAAAAATTGTAGGATACGACTCTGTATTATCCATATCAGTTTATCTTTTATTTTGAATGAGTGATGTTGCTATAGTGAGATGTAAATATAATTAATAAAAAATAATAAATCTTCGAGTTGAGAAATATAATTTATAATAGATATCTTTTGTAGGATACGACTCTGTATTATCCAAATCAGTTTATCTTTTATTTTGAATGAGTTATGTTGCTATAGTAAGATGTGAATATAATTAATGAAAAATAATGAATCTTCGAGTTGAGAAATATAATTTATATTGAAGATTCATTGAACTATTTGATGATATCTATTATAAAAATAAAAATATATATGCAGATATTATTATTCTGAATATTCAACAGAAAACAACTACTTTCCTGGCTATTTGCTATTTCGAACATTGAATTATATCTGTTGAATATCCAAAAGGAGAAAATGAAAATAACAATCCTCTGAAATTGAGAAATGATATTCTCTTTCAAATCGGATAAATAATTAATATGATGTATAATGCGATATATAAAAGTATAACTTACCAATTTATTCAGTACCTATTGAAATGTATAGGAGATGTATGCTTGTATAAACTCTGATCTTGATGAGCTTGAAACTTCCAAAATTCATCGTATCAGTGATATGGAAATATTATCTCTCACAAACCGGTAGTATGACTTCATTTGAATGAACTCATTTCGGATTTCAAACCCTCCTCAGTAACCTGAAATCCAGTTTCAGTTCAATGGCACTCGGCTGACGCCTTCGAGCATTTCTTTCGACTGCAGGGCATATAAACGCTTATACCTACTTAACACCTTCTTGATACTTACATAAACAACAATTTCAGCTTGGATCCATTGAGAGCATACAAGAACCTAACAATAACATTGGAACTGCCAGGAGACAAAACGGTTTTCGATATTGACTGGTTCAGTATATTTGATCATGATACCAAACAAAATTTAGCTTCAATCATCATACCGGAAGCTCTAAATGTGCCGCCATCATTAGTGAAGATAATTGTAAGTACCTATCTACTTTTGAATATACCTACTAAATGCAACAGAACCAAAGTATATTATAATGACGAGGTATGCAGGATTTAACAAGATACAGAAGTTTAGAAGTTTTTTTTTTCACAATTACCTAAGAATGGTTGAATATTTCGCATTCCAATTCGGTATATGGTTTCATCTTTGGATAGATCACTTTTTGACCAGAATCTGAATGAATCACAAATACTGAAATACTTTCATTTTTTATTTTCAGCCTCACAAAAATGAACTTCCAAACTGTCTGCAACTCCACAAGGACTTTCAAGTATCCTGGGAGATTTTCGGACCTCAAATCACCTATCAACTAGCGGGACAAGTAGCAGAAAACGAATATATGTCTTTCGGCACGTCTGGATCAGATCAGGGTAGTCAAATGATCGGAGCTGACGTTGCAGTAGCATACATTGATGGGTACAGAGGATTCGCAACAGACTATAATATTACTGCCCTTACTCCGGTGAGTAACATACTGGACACTGATGAGCTATCAGATATTCAAACACGGGTATATGCAAGGTTTTACAGATGATATTAAATATATTGTTACTACCTTGTCATTTTTCAACGTGATGATCGGTTCCCTAGATATTTGACCAAGCTTTACCTAACCCGTATGCTGCGGCCTGTTAAGCTTTCAACAATGATCCGCCTAGATAAAAATAAATTGTAGCGCTTGTAGTTCACGTTTCACAAAAAAACACATGAAAACTTTGTCAGTTTTTTTTTCCTAAACTATTGTTTCCACAGAAGAAACTAAGAAGTAGAGCCGGCTGCAGATTTCTACCGTCATCTGATAACAAAATGATATATATGTCCCGAAGGAAAGTGAAAACATTGTAGTATCGAACGGCACCTGTGCCAATCACTATCATCAGTAAAATGATTAGAAAATATCACTTTCCTGTGCAGAAATATGCACTCGATTTTGCGATTTCACAACGAAATAACAATATTTCCCCCCCTCTGAAGATAATATCAGATGGACCAGTGTAAAACTCAACATGTGGATTAGAATACGTGTAGTGTGAGCACAACATGTGTTTCACACTGGTCCATCGGATATTATCTTTCGACGAAGGCGAAATGTTCACGTAAATATTGACGCTCTGTCACTTACTTAGAACAGTTTGAATCGCAACACGTTTGGATATTCGCAAATGGGAAATTTTTCCCTTTCATCTGCTTTTCGTTTCAACTTGGAGCAATAAATGAATCGCTGTGCCGTGGGTTTTGCTCAGACTCAGGGATGGCACAGGTAGGTTCTTATTGAAACCTACCATTCAATTGGTATCGGATGACATAATTCTTATCTGGTAATCAAATCGCGAAATCGAGTGCGAATTTCCGCACAGAAAAGTGCAAGTTGTCAATAATTTTGCTCAGGATAGTTATTGGCACAGGTGCCTTTGGATAAATTCAATGGTTTCACATGCCCTTGGTACATTACCTAACAAGTGCGGAAAGTGATACCTTTCCGCACACAACTGCATCAGGCCGAACGAAGCGTTAGCGGAGTCTGGCCAGCAATCGCGTGCGGAAGTCACTTTACGCTCGTGTTAGGTATACTATATTCTTTCTACTAGCAAACGAAAAAAACCCAAATTCCTCTTTTCTGCACTCATTTCAGTGATTAAAGTTTTTTCCGCACTAGTGCGGAAAAGTTACTCTTTCGACACTGAAATGAGTGTGGAATAGTCCACTTTCGCTAGTAGAAACCAAGGTATTCAAAATGAAAAATCAAATACGACCGGCGTGCATGAAATGTTGCATTTATTTCGGGCGAAACTTGATTTTATGGACCTCGGCGTGTTAATTGCCCTCGCTATAGTTCGGGATCTAGCCGGGATTGGCGCAGTGGAAGAGCGTCCGTCTCACGACCGCGAGGTCGTGGGTTCGATTTCCAGCACGGGCAATGAACTTTTTTCAATATTTTATTTACGAATTAAATATTGTAAAGTTTCGGAGCATCGGCTGGGGATAGTCCTGCACGATTCGCTGTTGCGTTCCAATCAACAGTGCTGCTCCTAAAGTGGCGCATGGAGTTAGTAACAAAGCCTACACAGAACACGCAGAAAGATATGATGATGTGGTTGTGAGCATCAGAGAAGAAGTAGGACGGTGTATGTAGGTGGGTGTGGAAAAACTACCAGCTGAGCGTGAGAGCGGGCCAGCTGCTTGAGTAGACCTCGGTCTCGAGGGTTAACGATGATAGTTAGCAGGCCTGCCACTGCGCATATGGTAGTGAGTACATTACTAGCCTACAAAACACAGCTGAAAAACTCTGAGAAGAGAGCTGATGGGCGGTGCCTGATAAGGATGTTAGCCAGCTCTCTTGAGCGAACCACATCAGTCATTGAAAACACTTGGGGTTTGCAAAAAGGTCCCATTGGGGACTAGTTGCTGACGTGGAAACGTCCCCCACCAGTACCAGTACCAGTACCAGTAGTTCGGGATCTTACTTACGACGCTTACTTTACGCTCTTGATACATCGTAAATTAAAAAAAAATGATGTTCACCTTTTTTGTAGCAATTCAATCTGGTGATGAAGTAATGAAAACTCGATGATTGATTTTTTTGTGGGAGAAAATGTGTCTTATAACCCTTGGATCTACGACACTGATGGGTACTTCCGTTTTACCGACTCATTTCAAAAACAACATTTAGAGAAAAAAACAGAAACATTGATCCAGTCTATGAAAAGATATGATAAAAAACTGTTTTGTCTGCCGACACATAAACGTCTATGAAAAGATATGATAAAAAACTGTTTTGTCTGCCGACACATAAACAACCTGTTTTTGGATAAAAAGAGAATTTCAGGGAAATTTATATTTAGGTATTTTATCTTTCTTCATAATTTATCTTTGCCCACAAGCCATTGAGTTCATGATAATGCCCCTGAATCATCTTGTGTATGAAAATATTGAATGTAAAAGTCAATGCGATTTCCTATTTGTTCTAAAATTGTTGTTATCCATCCATCGGTTGCCCCCTTACGAGCAACCCTCAGAAGTATTCAAGAGACTAGTGCGAGCAAGGAATGATGGGGGTCTTACCTTTTAACGTGTGATCCCAAACACTTTCTTAGACTATCAGAAAAATTTCTGCGGTCGTGGTGGGAATCGAACCCACTACCGGTAATCCAACGTGGATAGAACATAGGCTACGCTAGCCATATACCGGGTGACACAGGAGACATGTAGCAGCCTGTAGTTTTTTTATTTGAAGAGATAAAATTTTGAAATTCACAGGGGGTATATAATAAATGGTAGCGCACTTTACGAACTTAACGACATTTTTTTTCAACCACCTGTTTGACCGGAAGTGACCCCAACTTTTTTTTTAAATGTCACCCTGTACATTTCTTCAGTCTATCTTTTTCGCCTTGGAACTCTCTATCCAACCATGTATCACAAAGTGGCATTTATTTCTTAATTCGCTGTTGAATTGCTTTTTATTCAAAAAGAATAAGTTGGCTGTGACATTAATTCGATGATATATCCAGAGATATATATCGACACTTGGTAGGCTTTGAAATTTAATGATCATTAGTAAACTGATATTATTCAAAATGTTTTGATATCCTGATCAATGTCTGCAGGTTGTCAATAGCTTGTTTGAGTCAAGATGAAAACCTTCGAAAATAACTCCTGATATTGAGGAATCTAAGATAGGAACATATTTTTTCGAATTCAGTTACTGGTACAGAAACAATCTGTCTTTTATTTTCGCCATGTACCTAGCACATGATCTTCCCATTTGGAATAAAAAAACTAGAATTGTTCCTCTTATACGATGATCCACAGGGCTATCAGTCTATTTTTTCATAATTATTTCACTCAGTTGGCGGTGTACCTACACAAAATGTTTTATGTGTTTGACAGTTAATCGATTGCATCAATAATTTTTCTTCTTCATTTGTGTGTTGATAAAATTGCATATTAACAACATATCGACTTTTTCGTTTCTTGAATACATTTTCCGTCTCTATTGATAACACCTGAAGAAGAAAAATTATTGATGCAATCGATTAACCGTCAAACACATAAAACATTGTGTGTAGGTACACCGCCTACTAAGTCAAATAATTATGAAAAAATAGACTGATAGCCCTGTGGATCATCGTATAAGATTCCTCAATATCATGAGTTATTTTCGAAGGTTTTCATCTTGACTCAAACAAGCTATTGACAACCTGCAGACATTGATCAGAATATCAAAACATTTGGAATAATATCAGTTTACTAATGATCTTTAAATTTCAAAGACTACCAAGTGTCGATATATCATCGAATTCATGTCACAGCCAACTGAATAACAAGCAATTCAACAGCGAATTAAGGAATAAATGCCACTTTGTGATACATGGTTGGATAGAGAATTCCAAGACTGAAGAAATGTACAGGGTGACATTTAAAAAAAAAGTTGGGGTCACTTCCGGTCAAACAGGTGGTTGAAAAAAATTGTCGTTAAGTTCGTAAAGTGCGCTACTATTTTTAATATACCCCCTGTGAATTTCAAAATATTATCTCTTCAAATAAAAAAACTACAGGCTGCTACATGCCTCCTGTGTCACCCGGTATACATCTCAGTTCCAATTTTCATAATCGGCACTATTACATATTAACGAATTGCGTGTTTTTCTGTACAACGAAATTCACGTACAGTGCAAAGAGCACGCTCATTTTGCAACTCGTGTTTAATTGAGATATATACATAATGGTTACATCTCATTTCAGTGTGTGAAAGTTTTGGGGCAATACAAAGGAGTTTGCAAAGACGATGTATTGGGAGGACTAGACAACAACCAATTGAATTCAGCAGTCAGAGAAAATGGTATAAATATTATAACATGGAGGAGAACACTGATTTCTCGTGAGTACCATCATGCACCTCTCGACTAAAAGAAAAAAAGTCTGCAATTCTTGAAGAGATATTGATTCACTTCATCATTTTTCTCTTATTAGTACCTATATTATTGTAAAATGTAATACAGGCCTTTTCACAATGAGCGTTAATTAGACGTTTCTACCAAACAGCAACAGATGAATCAGAAAATTTGATGGTTAGTTTAAATTGGTATGACACACACGTCTAAAATATTTTAAACGCTGCCTCTTTGCCGCTTCTACTAGAAAGTAGCAGCAACTTTGATTTTTCAAATAAAACACCCTGTATTTCATCACATTTTTAGATTTTCCCTGAAGAGCTGATTTCATCGATACATCACAATTGGGGTCTTGCGGGGATGATTACAGGTATAGGGTGTTCAAAATTCAACTTTAGGATTTTTTGTGTCGAAATAATTTATTATTGGTCAAAACAGCTTACATGCCCCTATACCTTAACTTTTGATTCACTATTTACGGACACTTGATTGGAACAGACACAGGGTGTGATTTGTTCCAATCAAATGTAAGTTGGTCAGTAGATAGTAAATAAAAAATTGAGATGAGGACATGTGAGCCGTTTTGACCAATAATGTATAGTTTCCACACTTGAAATCCTAAAATTGAAAACTCTCGATTTTGAACACCCTACATATATGTAATCATTTCCGTTAGACCATAAGTGTCATTGATGGAATCAGCTCTCCAGAGAGAATCTAAATATGCAATAAAATAAAGGGTGTTTCAATAGAAATATCATAGTTGCTGCTACTTTCTAGTAGAAATGGCAACGCCGCATCGTTGCTTGGTTCGCCAGGAACGTCTGATTCTGATATTGAGATGAGACATCGTTGTCGACAAAGGACCCCGCACATTTAGTACGTGAAATGGCTTTCGGCTAAATTTTCTGAAAATTTGATATGTTCAAGACATTATCGTCCGTATCACACAGTCCAATTTACAGATCGATCCTATGACCAGTTTTCGAGCTACAGGGTGTCAAACATTAGATTTTGGCTGTTTAGAATATTTTGCATCAATTTGAATTATGTGCTCTAAGTCGTGATTATTCTTCAGTAGGAATGAACTCTTCACGTTTAATATCTACCTCATGAATCCCTCTATTCGGTTAGAGGATAATATCACATACAGAGTATTGCATTCCATCATGACAAGGTAATATTCTTGGGAAAAGACAAATATTGAAAACATCAGAATTTTGATTTTTACTCAATCACTGAAAACTTGAAAACAAACGGCTAGAATCGGCCAATTATGTGAAACAGTATGGGTCTTGATCATAAACATGAGGATTCATATGATTATACCTCTGATACCATGTCCGGTTGGCCATATATAGGGTGATGACAATTTGAAAGCTTATAGAATTGATGTAACTCAGGTACAAAATGAGATACATTTCTATAATATATGAAGTGGAAAATGAAATGTCTCATGAAATAACCCACCCCCACCAAGCCCCTGATGAGTCACAACCACCCCAACGCATATCATCTCAATAGTAGCCCCTACTTATTGTGATACCTCATTGAATAGCTTGGTGAAAATACATTCCAGTGGTATTATTATTGATATCTCGAACTGGGTGAACTAACAAAAAATATTTATTACCTATATCATTCTGCTGGGGTGACGTATTAATTTTAGAGTATTTGAAAGATTTAACTGTTGGAACCTACCAAATAAAACTTGCTTCAGCATATGTACAAGATACAATGCAGAGACGACAGGACCACAATGAATTTCGAATAAATTCGTAATTGGAAGATGAAAATATTGTGCGTCTGAGGATTCATTCGAGACACAAAAATGCCACACGCTACCAAATATGGATCTCATTCAATGCACAAAATCTTGAGAATTCCATCATCAGCTACTACTGTACATGTAAATCTGGAGCTAGAACATTAGGTTGTTGTGCCCATGTGGATAGTATTATTTGGTATATAGAATATTCGAGCCATTTGGAAGAGTTCCCATACCCATCGTCTGTTTTATTGAATACAGTCGAAGATGCTGGAAATAGGAATAATGATGATGCTCATGTTCCAGAGAATAATGAAGATCAAATGTAATCAGATCATTAATTACTTCTTCATGGATTTTTCCTCTTATGAAACAATTCTCTGAAGGAAGGATAGACCAGTTGATCTATATAGTTTGGGACCAAGTTCTCCTGAATGAGCTATCTTCCTATAATAGCTTTCTCATATTTCTATGATTATGTGCAGGTATTTGTGATAAGGAAACAATAGGAATACTGATTACCAATGCAGAAATATTACTCAGCTCCATTCAGACTTCAAAACAGTTTGAAATGCACAAAACAATATGCAAAAATAACCGCATGGATGAAATATATATAGTCTTCAAGCAGATCTGGATAGTGAACGATCTCTGCTGAATTCCAGCGAAGACCCAAGCAACAATATTTTCGGAAATCGCCATCAACAGTGCGACCCATTATATACTATCATTCATGGCTTGTGCCTATCAGTTCATCTATAGCAATGCTTGATGTCATATTATGGTATCTGACAACTTGTTTCAATACGACCATCTCGCCAGAATGTGAGCCACAATGTGAAAAATATCTATCAGCAGCATTCGAAAATCATCAAAATACAAATTCTCTTGAGAATTCAAACATAGCGGACATGTCACAGTTTTACAACTTCTATCTTGGAGATGTTCTGCTGGATTGGATGGAGCTGTGTCCTTACCGTCTGACCAGCTCAGGTTAGGTTAGGTTAGGTTAGGTTAGGTTACTAGAGCATTCTGTAGATTTCAGTTTTCTCTCGCTTCACTAGCCAACTGTTCACATAAGCAATTTCACTTTTATGGTTATTTATATAATGCTCGATAATAACGATTTTTTCCCATACTACCAAAAGTTACGGAATCAATACGTCACCCCAGCAGAATGATATAGGTGATGAATATTTTTTATTAGTTCACCCAGTTCGAGATATGAATAATACCACTGAAATTTATTTTCGCCAAGCTATTCAATGAGGTATCACAATAAGTAGGGGCTACTATATTGAGATGATATGCGTTGGGGTGGTTGTGACTCATTTGGGGCTTGGTGGGGGTGGGTTATTTCATGAGACATTTCATTTTCCACTTCATATATTATAGAAATGTATCTCATTTTGTACCTGAGTTACATCAATTCTATAAGCTTTCAAATTGTCATCACCCTATATATGGCCAACCGGACATGGTATCAGAGGTAATCATATGAATCCTCATGTTTATGATCAAGACCCATACTGTGTCACATAATTGGCCGATTCTAGCCGTTCGTTTTCAAGTTTTCAGTGATTCAGTAAAAATCAAAATTCTGATGTTTTCAATATTTGTCTTTTCCCAAGAATATTACCTTGTCATGATGGAATGCAATACTCTGTATGTGATATTATCCTCTAACCGAATAGAGGGATTCATGAGGTAGATATTAGACGTGAAGAGTTCATTCCTACTGAAGAATAATCACGACTTAGAGCACATAATTCAAATTGATGCAAAATATTCTAAACAGCCAAAATCTAATGTTTGACACCCTGTAGCTCGAAAACTGGTCATAGGATCGATCTGTAAATTGGACTGTGTGATACGGACGATAATGTCTTAAACATATCAAATTTTCAGAAAATTTAGCCGAAAGCCATTTTACGTACTAAATGTGCGGGGTCCTTTAAGAGTCATGAAGTGATATGATTTGTAGTGATATAAAGTTGAAATAACGCTGTTTGTTTCGATATTTTTAAATTTTCACGCATACGATTTTATACATAATATGTGTATTGATTGATTAATCCACTATTAACGTGAGAATCACATTTTCAGCTGATCCGGGAGATAAAGAAATTCCAGCAGAAGGAAGTATTTTTGTTGTTTGGGGTGTTGGAAAACTAGACAAAACAAACGAACCAGCATTTCATGATCTCTATCCCAAGACTGATGTTAAAATAGAGTTAAACCCCAAAGAGCCACAGAATAACTGTTACTCTTTCACAAGATCGAAAACTGAACCCACTGAGCCATGGAAAAAGGGACAGATTTTCGATAAAAGTATAAGGATTTTCAACGCTTATATTGGACCATCAGGAGCAAAAAAGGGTTACCAAGCTATAACTGGTAGGTTCATAGATAAATGAAGAATAATTTTGATATTGAAATCAATTCAAAAATGATATAGATGTGATATCATTTTCATTATATCGAATTGATATTGAAGAGGCAATATCAGTGCAATATTGCTGAACAAATATAATAATAATAATAAAGTTAATTCAAAATGTTGACATAATATAAATTAAAAGTATACCTACATATTGGTATTGAATAAACAGAGAAAACCTCACGAAGTATAACTTGTTGTAAGGTAAATAAAATGAAAAATTATGGTTATTAAATCAATTGATTAGTGCTCTGGTACTACTCGATTCTTCTGAAGCTTTTGATAGTATTAATCATGAGCTGCTTTGTGCAAAATTGAAATTTTATGGCTTCAATGAATCATCGGTGTTTTTGATAGGGAATTACTATCTGCGGCGTTCTCGAAGAATATCTGTGAATGGGTTATACTCATCCAAACTTGATAAACTTTCAGGGGTTCCGCAAGGCTCCATACTGGGTCCCTTGCTTTTCATCATATACACTACTGATATTTTTCATAACATTAAAGATTGTAAGGTACAAGCTTTTGCAGATGATACACAAATGTATCTCAACTCCAGCACTGAGAATTTGGTAAATGCCGAGAAAATTATAAATGATGAATTGAAAAATATTAAGACTTCCTCTGATGAACACAATTTGAAATTTAATTCTGAGAAATCGAAAGTATTACTCTTTGGCAATAAAAATAATAGGAATACTAAAAAAAATAACATGACAGTTCAAATTGATGATTCAACATTACTAGTATGTGATTCAGCCAGAAACCTTGGCTCAGTGTTAGATGTGGATATGCGTTTCTCTTAGCAGAGCTTTCGCATCTTTGAAACTCATTTACAATGCCCGCAATTTTCTCAGTGTTAAAATGAAGCGAACTTCATGTGAGTCATTGGTTCTCAGTCACTTCAACTATTGCGATTTCATCTATGGTGCATGCTTAACTAGGGTTGACGAGGAAAAGATTCAAAAAGTGCAAAACAGCTGCTGTAGTGAGGGGGTACGGGGTTCGGAACAATCGATTTTAGGATGCTTTACCAGTTCCGTTTATTATAATAACTGAAGTTTGTACAGGTTTGGTATTGAAGGTTACACTCTAAAATGAAAATATACATGAAGTACAGATTTTCAGGTGAATTGGTGGCACATACATCTCAGGCCGACATACGACATACCATATTGACATAATGAATATTATACATACCTAAAACCAGGGACACTTTGCTCTTTGAAATTCAAAGATTGGAGATTCCCCACGAGGCTTCCAGAATCAGTAACCTTATTGATACCACTCAGATCAAAGAATCTACTAGACACCTGTAGGTGTTTTTGCGGTATTCAATACAAAAAAGATGTTAAATGATTTATGGGAATTAGGCAAATTATGGTATCTAGGCTGACACCTATTAGCCACTAGTGAGAATAGAGAGGAATGATAATACAGAAAACGATCAGTATCAAGTACTTAATAAAATGTAGCGTGCTGTATGGTTCTGGTACAGTAGACTAATTTATGGGATCAGAAAATATGATCATATTTCTCATAAATTTCAAGAATGTAACTGGCTCAACATGGAAAACAGAAGATAGCTCCATTTTGGTACTTTCACATATAAACTCCTCAATGATCCTAACCAGCTGGCCCTGGTGCGAAATTACATTCCTAGATCCAGAATACATAAAAAAAATGGCAGGAAAACGCCTACTCTGACCATGCCTCAACAAAGAACTGCAATGTTCCAAAAGTCATTCGTATTTCATGCTATTCAATTGTACAATAAATTGCCGGATGAATTCAAAAAATACAATATGAATAAATTCAAATATAAATTGGAAAATGATATACTTAAAACACAGCGTAATCATTCCTAACCACCTCTGTATACAACAGAGATTGTTTATTTACCTAGCATCAAGCATTGTACCCTCATCCCCGTTTTGTGATATTGATATTATATAAATGTGTACTCTTTCATTCGTTCATTTCATAAATTGTACTAATTCTATGAATTTCAATAATCCTACATTTTCGGTCTGACCAACATTGCCAACATATATATAGTGAATACTTTTAGATTCATCACTGTTTTTTTTTATATAATATATGAATATTATTTTTCTTGGGCATTGGCCCCCTGATGGTTGAGTTGAATAGCTTTAAGCTAGACTTCGACATCAGTTTCATTGAACTATACGTTATTTATGTTTTTCTACTCACAACTAAAATGGCATTTAGCGTACGGATTTGTACTACGCAAAATGATCGATTTATTCAAAATATTAAACACGTTACCATGGCAACACGATTTCTTAAACACATTACCATGGCAACACAGTTCATTAAACACAGCTTCAGTAATTTGAAACATGTCTGGCCTGTCAATTATATTAACTGGCAACTGTTATTTTCGAATTTTGTATTAAGATTTATTCAAACAATTCTCCTTTGTATCAGAATTCTTCATCAAAAATATATGCGAAATGTAGACGAAAGTGAAATCGAAGAGAATGTCCTTATACTTGCATATCTCCAAGAAGTGTAAAAATGAGGTATCCATCTTTGAGAACAGATTATTTATTCTGCGCTAAGCATGACAATAAACGTGATAAAGGTAAAAGTAAGCAATGGACTGGACACATCTACAACCAATATCACTTATACGTGTCTCGCTGGTTGCATGCAGTTGCATGTATTATGTTCTCAATTCCTATTCCATTCGAATTATTTTGTAGGTTACCAGGAATAGCAGGTATGTTAATGTAATTTTCGGAGTTCGTAGAAAAAGCATAGTATATGTAACGCGTTTATAAACTCTTCTAGACACTCGTTTATTAAACACTCGCTCCGCTCTGCTCCGCTCGTGCTTAAAATACTCGTTACTAAAAGGACGTTTATAAAACTTGTTACATAATATACTATTATATTGTAATTGAAAATAAGTCCTTCATTATTATTATTAAATGAGAAATTGGTTTGATATTGGGACACTAGTAATTCCATATTCAATATTCGAATATTGGGCAAGCTCTAGCCAATATATGATATTATTTATTTATTTTATTTATTTATTTATTGAACAAATAACTTCCAGACAGAATAGGCCCTGGTACAAGGAAGTACATAATTATATACTTATAGGTATATCATTATACAAAATATATCAACAACTGTAAATTGACAAACAAAGAATAATATTTGTAAAAAAAAATGGCATGTTCAATTTTATCCAGTTCGCTCAGAAATAATCAATTTTTTCACTTCATTTTTGAATGAACCTATGTTTCTGCAATTTTTTATATTGTCAGGTAGTTTATTGAATTCAGTTAAGGCTGAATGAGTGAATCTTTTTTGTCCGATAATGGAGCTAGCGGCGTCAAGATGAAACAAGTTATATTGTCTTGTTTCATGATTATGAATTTCAGAATTCCGTATCAACATAAAATTCGACTTCAATTTTTTATTTATGATATTATATGATATTTTGAGAGTTTCAATTCTATATATTTCATCTAAAGAATACGTATTTGTTATTTCAAACAATTGATTGGTTGGTGTATCAAATGGGAGACGATACAATACTTTTAACGATTTTCTAATGTTGATATTTTATTGAAATTGTTCTTTGAACAAGTTCCCCAAACATTTATTAAATAGTTGATACGACTCAGTACATGAGAGTAGAGAATCATGTTTGCAATTTTAATATCAAGTTTGGGACATCTTCTCAATGCACCAATAATTGGAGATATTTTTTTGTCAGAACATCAATATGTTCACGCCCGTTCGTGCATGAGTAACTATTTTCTGGAACGCTCTTATCGCACTAACAAATCACCTCGTTGTTTTCAGGCCACGCCTCCACCGCCCTCTCCTGGTACGTCAACGGCCTGCTGGCGCCCGAGATCTGGCTGCGGCGCGGCCTCTCCTACGCGTTCCGGGTGCGCGGCGGCAACGACCCCCACAGCCCCGAGCACTACCACCCATTGGTCCTCACCGACGAGCCCTACGGCGGGTTCGATAAGCTGTCCGATGCCGCGCAGGCCAAGGTCAGGGTGCTGGCCGGGGTGGAGTACTCGAGGAGGGGCCGGCCGAGGCCCACTGCTGGTAAGACCTAGGTTAGGTTAGGTTAGGTTCATAGTGGAAGGAGAAGATGGTGTGCTCGACAGAAAGCTCAAACTCGTCTCGTTCTGCGCATGACGTCAACAGGGATATAACTGCGATTGTTATCATTAAAATTTGTTTTCGTAATCGATGTTCTAAAATGAAATGAGATAATTTCGAAATGCCCACTTGTTTCGTTTCTGGTTATGAAAATTCCAACTAATATACAAAAGGCACAGATATTGCATTTTTCTGTTTTTCCAAGAATGGAGACCAAATGGAACGATGGGTGAAAGCTTGCTGCCGACCGAAAATAAACTCAAATAATGGTACCCACCTTATATTCCTTATAATAATAATAATAAATAATAAATGGGCTTTATTCATCGATAATTAATAATTCATAAGAACAAGAGATCTACAAATTATAATGATGTTCGATGAAAAGGCCATTCCAAAGTATTATCATCATTTCGTTCGAAACATTTCCATGCAAAATGTTCTCAAATAAGTTTGAAAGTACAATTGTTGAAATACACATCTCCAAAAAATCACAAATATTTGGAACGAGATGCCATTCCTACTATAATTTGCAGCAAATATTTGAATAACAAAACGGCAAAAAATGTTACTCCTAACATCGATGTCAAAGCAGAAGAAACGTCAACGTCGTTAACTGCTGAATTTTAATCTGTCAGAATCGACACAGTGGTTGATCATTCGATGGAATTGGCAATGCATGATAAATCTTATGTATTTGCTATTTGCGATTTCGATTTACCGGAGGATCACAAATTCCTGATCACTTGAATAGAAAAATCGGAGGAATAAGTACCTATTTATATAAATTCAATTTTTTCTAAACAGATCGAGAAACTCATAGAACTTTCAATAAACTTATTTGAATTCATAGCGCGTGCCAATGGCAAAGGTATCTGTCTTTGACTAGCAGCTGATATTGATGGTATCCCAGATGACGTCACATAATATGCGCGTAGGCACACCATCTTCTCCTTACACTATGGTTAGGTTGAACGTGAGCGGGCCCATGTCAGGCCCTCCACTGCGGCCTATGGCCTATTGTGGCTCACCCTATGGTTATATTTCTCCCAGTATATCTAATCTCTTGGCAAAATTAAGGAGTACGTTGGGAGAACAATTTATCAGGTTTTCTGACCCTACTGTGTTGTATTGCCAAGTGTTGAAAATCTGATTCTGGTCGCTGCAGGGCATGTACATAGAATGTGTTTAGCCGTTTCATCCTCCTCCATGCATAGACGGCATTCTGCATCTTGTGCAAGTCCGATTTTGTGCATGTGGTGTTTGAGTTTGCAGTGGCCAGTGAGCAAACCTACTATGACTCTGAGATGTGCTCTACTGAGTTCTAGTAGTTTGTCAGGGTCCTGTTCGTTCCTTGTACAAGCAATGAGAGCTTTGGAATGGGCTAGGCCCGGTAGACTACGGCAATACTCGATCGAGTCTTTTGTTGTCGGCCCAGGATGTTATAACATTCTTGGCCGTGCTATGTGCTATACCGATTACCGGTTCTGGCCCAGTGAACGATGATTCAGGCCCTTTCTTTTACTAGGACGTCCGCTATTTCGTTCGCTTCTAGGTCCGTGTGACCTAGTATCCAGACTAGGTTACCGCTATTGCGTTGTGTCAGCCGGTTTAAGGTTTCTCTGCAGTTCCATACTGCTCTGGATTTGACTATCTGAGAATATCTTTATTGTTTTTGTGTGTAGTGTTGATTTTCCAGCTCTCTTGCACACATTTCAATGGCGTATACCTATGCCTGGAATATCATAGCTAGTTTACCCATACCGAATGAGCAATTCACTACTGGGTTCATCCCGTATATTCCGGCTCCGACGCCTTTCAAAGTTTTAGAGCCATCGGTATACCAGCATTCAGTTGCCCTACATAGGTTCGTTTCATTCCGAACCTATTCTTCTCTTTCAGGAAAGACCTAACACAAACTGACATACGATTAACATACAATTCTCAAACAAGACACGGTAGCTCCTTGAGATGAAATACTCGTACATACAATAAATCAGTCTACGGCGGGTTCGATAAGCTGTCGGACGCTGCGCAGGCCAAGGTCCGGGTGCTGGCCGGGGTGGAATACTCGAGGAGGGGCCGGCCGAGACCCACTGCTGATGAGAACAACTAATTATCGAGATAATTCAGGAACTAGGATTGAAAAACACGATACAGTAGCTTCTTAAGATGAAATAGTCGCACCCTACCTACCGTTGACTTGTTGATTCATTATTTTCGATACGAAGGTGTTACAGATTACACCATGTTTCAGTCTCCGATATATCGTCTATAAGGTGACGAATACATTCTAACCGTTTCTAAATAATGATCTGATGAAATTAATTCAAGTTGTTTAGCGTATTCACACTCAATAGACCTGGACAACCACACATACCCACATTTGATATTGGTAGTTGAATGACATGAATGACATGAACGATAAAGTCCAAGGGGTCTAGATCGCAACGAATACGGTGCCTTATTATTGTAATGGGCCTATAGTGGAATTGGTGTCTCATTATTTCTAAAACAAATCGTCTCATCAACATTTTGTAAAGTCACTGGAACAGATTATTGAGATGAAAAACTAGGGAAGTCCAATAACCATTGACCCCCCTCTGTTTATCAGTACCGGCACCAGTTTTACTAGCAATTTTTTTTTTCAAATATCATCGTTCAGTTGTCCATTTCTCGAAATTTTCAGGATTTCTACTCGTTTGTGAATAAAAATATCAGTATTTTCAATCGATAGTCAGTGATAACATGTCTGAAAACTTTTTGAAGAAGTATATCATTTCTGTACTCCCTCATCAACTCATCTCCCCTGTTTTTAAGTACTTGCTCCAGTGGCTTCACAGCTTCTGTTTTGAAAAAAAAACAATTTGGATCATTCCTTGTCTGTTCCAAAATTTCGATTTAAACGTTTCATTTTAGAGATCATTAGAAGAGTGTCCATCTCTAAAACGAATCATTCTATCCGAATTTTATAGGAAGTCACTGACACATCAGGTACGGTACCTACATGAAATGGAAAACCAGGGAAGTCTCATTCCTTAGAGCTAACATTTTCAGTCTCATCAGTCGGCACTTATGTAGATTGAGGCCTATGTCAATGTCAAAATTCATCACATTTTGATGGATAACCCTAAAGACCAAGGCCTGCTGTTATTCAGTGAAACTTCATGCATAACTTTTACATTCACAAAGAAGTATAAGCTGAATTGAACGAAGTACATGCCATATAAAACAACAAAAAAGTTAGTCCTCCTTCTGCAAGACAGTACCTGGCGTTGTTCTTACAAATTTTGCTTATTTATTTTTAGCAAACAGAAATAGAATCGAAATGTTCACTATGGAAAGAGATAGTAATTTATATGATGACATTTTAACATTCGACAGCTAGATACAGAGAGATAACCAGATAATCTAGAATATGGAATAATATCAAAAATCATAAGAAATTGACACCTACCTACATGCGTACATACAATTCACTGCCATGAAATAAGAATCAATTTATTCTTGATCTGTTAAATTCATGTTATTTTTCAGCGGGACCCCTTTGCCTCGCAAAACATAAAGAAGGCCTCGACAGAAGACTGGACGATGATTTCGACTCCTTCAAGAAATTCAACCGCTCCCTCACCTACCACTGCGAATCAGGAGATCCTGGGGTGCTTGAGTTCACCCCAAATTCTTCATGGCCAGATATCATTTATTATAGTTCATTCACTCAGGCCAATATGGGTTGGAGAATTCGTGTAGTCGACAGCTTCAATCAGAGATCAAGTGGTGTGAACATGAGGTTGAATGGATATTTAATCATTTTTGTTATTTTGTTTGAATTGTTGAGTTGAATAGGATTCGCTATTTAGTGGCAAGTGGTTTTCCCAACTTATTATGTATGTACAACTTCAGCAGCTAAATATTAGACAGTTGTCACTAATGTGAAAGAGATGTCATCATTGATTTTGGAAGATTTCAAATCACTATTATACTTGAATTAGTGCTCATGTTCGAATCTGTGAAAAAAATAAAAACATCAAGATAACAATTATTTACCTTTTTTGAGACAAAACACAACACATACATTGTTTCAATATTAAGCTGAAGCGAAGGACCACAAATATGTACCAGCTCAATAACTTGCTCCGTAAGTAAACTTTGAAGTTCGACATATGAAGTTTTTAACAAACTACAAATTCTGACCGTCATCTGATAACGAAATGACATATGCACAAAACCCGAAACCAAACCATGTGAACATTGTAATGTTATAGTAGAGTATAATCTGATGTTGCTATAGGAATGAGTATTATTAGAATTAATTGTATAATAAATATTGAACATCTGTACCTTTCTATCAGAATATTTCTGAATAGTATTACAAACATTGTATTTCATCGAACGGCACCCTGTGCCAATCGCTATCATGAGCAAAATGCTTGTAGAATGGCACTTTCCTGTGCGGTAATTTACGCAAAATTTCGCGATTTGATAAATAAGAATTGTGCCATCCGAAACACTATCTGTGCCTTTCCTTAATCTGAATCAAACCTTTGACACAGTGATTTTTTGCTGCCGTCATTCCCGTCATGCTACCGTCACGTGATAAGGAGTTGAAATAATATGCACATAAAAGGGGATATTTTCTCCGAAAATATTCAAACGTGCTGCAATTCAAACTATAACATCAAGCGAAATGATGAATCAGTACGCTTCATGTTACTAAGCACAGCGATAGTTCAGTCGGAAATTATTGTAATTCTTGGCATTATCTACGTTTTCATACAAGAAAATAAATTCAACTTTGTCGTTATTTAAAAGTGTTTTCCTTGTGTTCGACATTTTGATATGGACAGTTAATGTTATCCATATCTGTAACGTATGTGACCATCCATTTCCTGAACTAAGGAGCTGATGACCGATCATTCTACAGGAAGTTCAATTATTTCAGTATCCTCACTACGAGTTCCAAATAAACAGAAAAAACTTTTCCAGATGCAAGTAATGCATTACGAGCAGTTTCCGCGTTAATACATAATCCGGCAACAGGATTGAATGGTTTTGAGCGGTCAGCCACCTACGTATATGCGCTTGCAAATCCGTATCAAGGAGGATGAGTTTTTCGAGCACTTTCCAAGTATATGACCGCGACCTGCAAACTGTGCGCATTTTTCTGTCGAAACTAATCGGTTAGAAATAAAAAAAAAAGATATAGATGGGAAGTCAGACTCGAACCGGCGCTCGATCGGATAGATCCTATCCACTGTCAGACGTTTATATCACTAGGCTACTGTGAAACTTGAAAGATGAAAGATTTTATTATGAATTCACCAGTCAACAGAATTTAAATAGTACAAGGAAAAAATATTCAGCTCAAAATCATAACCACAAAAATTAATTTATAGACAACAAGTATAATTAATGTTATATATAACATATCATTCTTGATGTCAGACGATAGTATTTGCTGTGATCAACCATACAAAATGCATAAAAAGATCCAGTAGATATCTTGTTATTGTGATACTATAATATGAGATTATTTATATAATGGAGTTTGTCTCCAGCGTCGAATCGACAGCACGATTGTGACATATCTATAACGGTCACTTACAAGATGGATGACAAACATAATCAATAAGCATCGCAATAAGCGGCACAATCGATGTCATTCAAACATTTTGCCGATATCGGTTTGCCGCTGCCGACACATCCGCTGCTGACAGCGATGGCCTGGTTATTTACCATGTTTGCTAGGTGTTCTCGCATATGAGTAATATTCGTCATCAGCTCCCCTACTATAACGTAGATATTGAATTGCTTATCGCAGAAACGGAGTATCATCCGCGGATTTTTCAACTTTAGGTGAAATATACATCACAATTTCCTTCATAACTGTATAAACATCCATGAAGTCAGTTCATGTTACGTTAGGTTAGGAATAATCTTTTGTGTTTTTGTATGGGATTTCAATGTTGATGGACAGGAGACAGATGACCTCTGACTGCTCAATAATAACCGGCATAACCTCCAGCTCGATTAGCTAGGTGCTAGAGGTGATCATCACGTGGTTTAGAATCTCCATTTGCTCGCTTGGCCCTGATCATCTTAAATGAAGGCTAACGTTTTCAGTCTCACCAGTCGACGCCATTGAAGCTTGGGGTCTATGTTGAATTCGGAATTCCTCAAATTTTGTTCGATACCCTGAAGGCTGGGTCATGTTCCTCCAATAAATTATCGTTGATTAATGTCACTTCAACACATCCACAAACATTGAATATGTAAAAAGTTTGTTATAATGATAGTATACTTTACCGAGGCTAGGTTAATAACTGAAAACCATCATCATGGTAAAAACTCAAGACAGAAAGCTTAGCCAATTCACAGAACTGCTCAATAATAAACTCTGTGAAAACGAACAACAAGTTTTGGAGTTTATTTCATTCAAATAACATAGATTGTAATGCGAATTTATTTAGTGCTTCTTTTCTTCTTGAACCTCTGAGGTCTTAGTTTTATTTGTGGAAGATTTAGTTTAAGCGTGCAGGTAGTACTGTACCATTCTCTCCAAGCATCAATATGCCTTTGCATAGTCACCACTAACCAAGAAGTATACGTGAAATCGATGGCAGCCATACCTGAATCATGATATAGTACCTATTATTAATTTCATGTAGCTAAGCAACCACGACTTTGCAATGAAAAAATACACTAGAATAGCCTGATTAACCTGTGTTTTTACTATAGTACCCCGCAATTGGAGTGGGACACCTGAAATTTTCGCTCAGATTCGTAAGATCATAACTTCCAAAAAAATTAACCGATTTCAATTCGGTTGTCAGATTTCGGAAGCTCATTTTATTGTGTTCAGAATCATGAATTCGGAAAACGAAAATATGAGAGAGAATTGGAAATTCATCCCCAATTCTCATTCACAGAGATATCATCAGAAAAAAATTACCATTTCGAGAAATGACATCAAACTCCATGATACAAAATGAGAAAATCATAATATATATTATGAAACATTTTATGGACCAAATGGGATCACTCCAAATTGGATCCAAGTTTGCAGTGTGCCATTCATCGCCCTCTGAAATATTTATTTACCATTTTTTCGTTTTTAGAAATTATGATTCTGAAGATAATGAAATGAGGTTCGGAATACTGAAAACCAAATTGAAATCGGTTAATTTTTTTGGAAGTTATAGTCTTACTTACGCATCTGAGCGAACATTTCAGGTGTCCCACTTCAATTGCGGGGCTCTGTATCAGATGTCAAAGTGATTATAATTTTCGAAATTAATCCACCACATTCAATCTATAGGGTTGAATATTAGGAAGAGTTTACAAGGCAACCAATCGAAACAAACTAATACTTCGTACTATATAAAACCATAAATACATTCTACGTTATGCACGCGTTGCATAAGTACGGACAAACCTTGTTGGTTGCCAATAGGGTCCCTTGATGGAAATTGACATTAAAGTCATCTTAACTAACTAACTATTTTTTAATGATCTAGAGACTTTAGTTTTGTCTACTGGCATCCCTGACATAGCTACAGAAAATCATTCAAAATTTTAATAATAGGTATGTACAGGGTATTTACTTGTTGAGGAAGATCATATGGCGAACGAGTTTTGTAATTATGATTCGATTCTATTCAAAATTTGAAGGTATCTGGGGTTTTCCGGGGTTGGAGATAATGATTGTTTCGTCAAACTTGGAAAATTCAAGATGACGGATCCAATATATAGCGAAAGAAATTTCTTATTATTATCTGATTCTATTTAGGATTGGTATGTGAGGGATTTCTGGGTAGAACTTTATGATTTTTTGTCGAAATTGGGAAATTCAAGATAACAGATCCAATATGGCGAACGAATTTCGTAATTATGATCCGATTCTATTCAAAAATCAAAATTGGTATCTGGGGATTTCCGGGGTCGGAGATTATAATTATTTCGTCATAATTGGGATATTCAAGATGGCGGATCCAATATGGTGGACGACTTTTGTAATGAAGACCCGATTCTATTCAAAATTGGTATCTGGGGGTTTTCTTTCAAGATGACCAATCCAATATGGCGAAAGACATCAGTTTATATAATCATCACTCTACCACAAATAGAAAATTTGTAGGATGCAAGAGTGAAAATAACGTGCCTATGAGTTATAATGCATATGCCTACTTCTTTGTTACTATCATCAATAAATTATTCGAAAATAACTTTTTATTTAAGGGAGACAGAAAAATCATATGTATAACATGGGGGTAAAGTATATTCTGTTCATCATTTTCCTGCACATTGTACGTATTACTTGTCATCGGCCTATTTTTCGTCCTAGACGAAGTTTTATACATAGTGTGATATTAGTCACTCCAAAATTCTTCTCCGAGTTGGATTTCCGAAAATATATTCAGCACACATGACATGAGTACAGTAGTTTAGATACCCACATCATCGAGGTTTCCACCATTTCTCAATCATAAGGCTCAGCTCATTCAGCTCATAGATAAACTACTGCTCAGCTTGAAATCAGAATTCATTCAGTCAATTCAGTAAATCCTGGTATACAGTGTAAGAACAGTCTCTTTTGGTGAACTTTATTAAGCTTTCAATACAATTTATATGTTCCCTATCTCGCAAAGATTATGCTGGAGTAGTAAACTCTAAAACTAGAGGATTGTTCATCTATATCTTGGTATAGTTGAATCAGGAATTCCATATGGAAATTACGCATGATACGCCAGTGACCTCAATATAACCTGAAGAACAACGAATGTCAAAAATCTAGTGTTTATCCCCAGAATTGAATAAGGATGAAACTATATAACTGTTTCACAAACACTTTAGAGTGAGAGGAGACGAGGATCTGTCCGTACCCTGTTAAGATGACAAATACGTCAATTTACATCAAGGGACCCTAGTTGCCAATTTAATGTACTGTCACAATCAGAATCACCGAGTTGATCATCAACAACTCATATCTCATCAATGAGAAAACCTTGACGCTAATTCGCGATAGAAAATATGCGTACGACACCTAGCAGCGGGGTATTTGAAAGTTGTCAAAGCTGTCTGATTACTCAGTTTGAATTGGTTTAAATTTGGTTTTTGATTGTGCTTACTGGTCATACCGATGGAAAAAACCGCTCAGAAATTGTTCAAGCTGTTGCCGTCAGGTGGGGTGACTTATTATTTTCTATCGCGAATAGTTAGTGACATTCAACCCTTCAGTACTCGCGCGGGGTACCTAAATACCCCAGACCTCATATTCTATTGAATATATTGATGGGAGTGGCACTGAGTATACTGCCACTTCATGTATTCTTCAAGCATAGTATTGAGATGTGTTTGTAAGCATACGATTGTTATTGAATGTGTGTGAAAAACGACATTGAAGGTCGTTGGGGTATTATTTTCATTCATTTCATTAGTATTTATGCTCTTATGAATAGTTGAAGCAGTTTCATAATTTTTTGGGAAAGATAAAAAACCAGAACGAGAGCACCATGATTATTATGTTGGAAGAGTCAGGTGCCAAAGGAAAAGCATGAAACGCATTTATAATGTGGTTATCCACTTTCATCGAAGAATCTTCGAAACCATTGTTGATCATGTTCAAAATATCCCCAAGAATATGAGACATCTAGGAATAATCATTCTAGATGTAGAGGAACCACCATCCTCAAGAGAAACGGAAAATACAGAGGCTGGTCAAGTTGCGAAGAAATCAAGAGTTGGTTAGAGATACCAATGTCTAAGGAAAACTGACCAAAAAGAAATCCAGTTAACTGATTTAAATGCAATAATTGGATGAATAGGAACCATCAAACGAATATTTTCGAGAAATGAACGAACAATGATAGAACAGTAGAAGGCAACAGCGATTAGGAGCAGTGCTTAGTTCAGTATTCTCATTTAGATATAAGTATGATAACCTTTATTGTGGGTGGCTTCAATAAGTAAGTTTCAATGTTTTCAGTGCGCAAACTTCTTTTTGTGATTTATACAGAGTGGGCCATTGAAAACGAAACAGCGGCTCTGTAGGTCGGCAAAACCAGATTATGAAAAAATCTGAAACACGTCAACTATATTCTCGAGGGGGACATCGTTCTAAAATATTTTCAGCCCTGCGGCGTTGCCGCTTCTAACGAAAAGAAGCAACAACTTTGTTATTTCAAATGGAAAACCTTGTATTTCATTACATTTTTAGATTCTTCCGGAAGAGCTGATTTCATCAATGCATCACACTTGGGGTCTATCTGGAATGATTACAGGGATATAGGGTGTTCAAAATCGAAATTTTTCAACTTTAGGATTGTTTTGTATCGAAACTATTCATTATTGGTCAAAACGGCTTTCATGTCCCTATCTCAACTTTTGATTTACTATCTACTGACATTTATGTGAAACAAATACAGGGTGGTTCAAGATTCAGACTTATGATCACCCTGTATCTGTTACAATTAAATGTCAGTAGATAGTAAATCAAAAGTTGAGATAGGGACACAAAAGCCGTTTTGACCAATAGTGAATAGTTTCGACACAAAAAAATCCTAAAGTTGAAAAATCTCAATTTTGAACACTTTATATCCCTGAAACCATTTTAGCAAAACCCCAAGTGTGATGCATTGATGAAATCAGCTCTTCGGGGAGAATCTGAAAATGCAATAAAATACAAGGTGTTCCATTTGAAATAACAAAGTTGTTGCTTCTTTTCATTAGAAGCTGCAACGCCGCAGGGCTGAAAATATTTTAGAACGATGTCCCCCTCGAAAATGTATTTGACGTGTTTCAGATTTTTTTCATAATCCGGTTTTGCCGACCTACAGAGCCGCTGTTTCGTTTTCAATGGCCCACTCTGTATAATTAATAATTCATTTATTCAGGGTTTGGAAATCAGAGTACCCCACGCAAGAACTCATGCAAGAAATGTGTACTCGAGTACTGTAAGGTTAAATAAGCCACTTTTGACCACAAATTTCTAACTTATGACAAAAATCCCCTAAGTCCTTAACATACTTTCCGAGAAACACATCCCTAATTTGAAGCATGATATCAATTCAAGTAACACAAATTCTGCCAGCCGACTGATCATTATAATGCATTAAATTTACTAAATGTCAAATGAATATTCCTAATTTCTAGAGAGTTTGGAACTGTATTAGATATTAGATGATATTCACTTCCCCAACCAGCCATAATGGAGAAGGCATCGCATCAAACTGGTTCCAGCTCATTAAAGACTTTGGGAGTCACAAGTGTGATACCCTGGATTTGGATTCAGCTATCATCTTCAGAGAGTATTATTTACGCTTCTTCATGGAACCAGCCCCTAACGCCTCAGTGGCTTGTATGTATAAACAGTAGATCTCCATCTCCTCAACTCGTATGAGCCCTTCTAGCGCTGAGGGTTGTTTCGACAACAAAGGTGATGAATGAATAACATTGTACCATATATAGCAACCCAGGAATCTCATTTCATCAACATTAGTGAACTTTGTATGCCGCCTTCAGAGTTGGGAGCCCACCCCGCAGAAGTTGAAACTTCTGTGGAATTGAGAAGAGCAGCACCTACAAACTATAGGTGCTTATAGTGGAATGGAGAATGATCGACAAAGGTAAACGCACTAGATCTTCAAAGTTTTGGCACCAACATTGTTCCTACTTCATATTAACGATCTATAGGGAGCTAGAGTCCCTGTATATATACCTTAGACAAGAGTCCGGACACAAAACTGACAGCCGTTGGGGTTTTTAATATTTTGTTTCATTTGGTTTGCCCACCTGACAATGTGACGAAACACCATAGTCGTCCCGCCCGCTTCTTTTAATTATTCCGAATGTCTGTCACTGTCACTTTGAAATTTTATGACCGCCAAAATTTAGCATTTTAAATTATTTCAATGTCCTGCTGCGTACATTATTGCGATAATTCATTAGAAAAGGGATTCAAGTTATTCAATTCTCCGAATGATCCTTCAAAGACAATCTCATGGAAGAATGCAATGAAACGTCCAGAATGGAAAATTAATTTCAAGAAATCCGCAATATGTGAGGTAAATGTTCAAATTTACTTGTGAAAACAGTACAAAAAGGATGAATTTTAGGCCCATTTTGATAGAGGTTTTTTCAAGCTCATGGATTTCAAATTGAAAGAGTCTGCTGTGCCGTCAATTTATGAAATAGAGACGTTCAAAAAAAGAGTCCCGTCGTCATCGTATTGGGAATTACTGAATGATACGATGATGCGGAAAGAAATTGAAAGTTTGAAATCAAAACTAGAAGATTTAGGGAAACTGCAATGTACTATATGATCAGTCCACGGTGTTATTAATTCAGATCAAATTCAAAATGTACAGGTGAATGTAGACTGCAGAAAGAGGTGGAAAACACAATTAATAAAGCACTCGCTATCAAATATATTGTTGTTTTGATTTTGTCACTTTTGTTTCTGATGAGTGTTATTAAATTGAGAGAATCGGAGAAAATTATATTGAAACAATTATATATCTTCTATTTTTTTATATCCCAACAGAAAACAACTATATTTTCTTGGCTATATGTGATGATACCACGTAGAACACTTGAATTATCTTTCTTATATCTAATGAAGTGAAGAAATATCTGATGACAAAAATTTGCAATAGCCATCTCAGGAATTGATTATGAAAATTATCGATTCGAAATTTGAACACCCTGTTGTCCATTATTCGAAAATCTAATAGTTATTCTAGTTAAAATAGCCCTATTTCTCACTTCTACCTACGGCTATGAACGGTTTGACAAATAATCTAACCCTCAAAAGGGTTTCTGACAATCATTGATACTAGGGGAATTGAGAAGACAGAGCTCGATATATATGTCTTATTCCTTTATTCAATCATCAATGCATTTTTTGAAAACAGAAAAGGACAGAAGTATAGCTGTGTCCGGACTCTTGTCTAAGTTATATACAGGGACTCTATAGGGAGCAACCACTTGGCCTATCCACAGCTTCGCAGATGATAGTACTCTCCAACTGCGTTTTCTTCTAGAATTCCCATTTCTTCCCAGGAAACTAAGAACTTACGACGATGGCAGACCAACGCTGTCAATGAAGATCTTGCAGAAATTACAGCCTGGGGAACCAACAACCTAGTTGAATTCAACGTCACCATAACTCAAGCCTGTGTGTTTTCTCTAGAAAGGCGGAACTCACTACTCAGTATGCCTGAAATAACAATGTCTGATACCAAAATTCCCACCAAGACCACTATATCTATGCTTGGTATTACCATCAGCAATACTATCTCATGGAAAAATCGGAACTCACTACTCAGTATGCCTGAAATAACAATGTCTGATACCAAAATTCCCACCAAGACCACTATATCTATGCTTGGTATTACCATCAGCAATACTATCTCATGGAAAAATCATGTCCGATCCATCGCAGAAGCTGCTTCACAAAAACTCGGATTCTTGTTCCGTGCGAAAATCTACTTTACACCTCAACAGCTTCTCATGATCTACAAAGCACAGATACGGCCAGTTTTGGAATATTGTTCTCATGTATGGGGCCCAGCACCGAAAAATACGCTGATGCTCTTGAATTCCATCCAGAGGAGAGCCATTCGCCTGGTGGGTGATGCCACACCCACTAACTCTTTGACCTCATTAGAACACCGTATCGGCGACCTTTCACTTTTCTGTAGATACTTCCACGGGAAATGTTCCTCAGAAATCTCTGCTATAAATCCACCACTAACCTTGAATTATGTCGAACAACACTCAATCAAAACTCGTGCGTCTATAGAACGGCGAAGCTTTGGAATCCCTTGCCAATGGAAGTATTCTCAAGAAATTATAACCTCTAAAAGTTCAAATAAAAATTCCAACACCTACCTCCTCTCCCTATCATCTCTAGGTACGCATTATGTTCCACGAACATTATAGGAATGTCCTTTCGTACGCTCCAAGAGATAAGAAAAAAGTCGGTTAAATAATCAATCCAGTTTTGGTTGAAGCTGATTGTAAGTAAAATGGTGAATAATCTTCGGTAAAATATTCCTATTCGTTTTGAAAACATTGTATTATTAACATTTCATATTTTCAAAATGTACAAATATTATAGTGCCTAAGTTTAAAATGTGCGTTCTTACCAAAAACAGCTGAAAACGCCACGATATGGGAGGCAAGTGTGCCCGTTTTGATATAATTATTCTTAACCAAGGATTCGCATATCACCATCAACATATAAGTTGACGCTATGGCAGAAGGGGTGTATATAGAAAAGGCCAATAGATCAAGTAAGATATCTTTCAAATGTGGTCCTGGCTGTTTGAGATACATTACAACGGACCAAGGAATGCCATATCTGGAAAAAAATTGTGATAATCCGAGAGTATCAATATTCGAAATAATTTTGTAACAGTTCTCGTAAGTAGGTTGAGAAGCAACAGAAGCGGAGATTTATTGTCTTTAGCATACTTGAGAACTATTATAAAATTATTGATCATTTGTCGATGTTCAAGGGTTACTTATTCAAAGGATACATTATGCTCAAGTAGAAATCCAATGAAAGTAGTTGATTCGAGGTCATCGGAGAATATACTGTAAACCCTCGAAAATTGAATTGCTTTCTCAAACTTGTTGTTCATTATAACATTAATATAGAAACGTGAATTTCATATTCGTTTTTACTAACAATTATCAATTTCCTTGAGTTGTTAATACTGAAAATTTGTTGCTAAGTTTGGAAATTAATCAGTTCTTCAAATATTTTTCCAGTATCAGAACGAAATCGTGACATCGTTAGAATATATTGACTTCATTATGATCGAAAAATTTCCATCATAACTCAAGAAGAGGAAATTAACTACGGAGATCTGTTGTAATTTTGTTATCATTCGCTAGTTTCGTTCGTTCAGTTCATCAAGAAATGACTACTCTCATCTCTTATTCGACTTTGAGATGAAATCCAAGGCATTTTTAGAGGAGCAAAATTATCAATCAATTTGCCAGTGGGGAACACGAGTGATGTTTATTTTAGAAGATAAATAAAATGTTGATGAGATGAATTGGATAGAACTATATAAAAAGAATGGTATGATTGAAAGACATAATTTTTGATTATAGTGGTGTAAAAGAGAATTGCCTCATAAGTCAGAATTTTGTCAACATGTTTGATACCAAGGGTATATTAGTTTCTCAAGATTGTCTCTTGTCAAACAACATGTAATCATCTTAGGTAGGTAGATACTTACTTTGGTTCTCTAACGATTTTATAATGATGCTGGCATAATTCACAGCTACTATGATTGGATTCTCTCAACCATCTTTCCAGACATTTGAGGTGAACTAGCGCTATTGAACCTCTACATCGACAAGTTGTCAAAAGATCATCCATACTATCACCACCATGGCAAATCCGACATATGTGGCATCGGGATGTCGTGCTCGACTGAGAAACAAAGCAATCATAGCATTGATACATCAACTTATTAACTATTGAATGTTTCATATATATTTCTAAAATCCTTCAAATTTTGGAGATTAACCCTAATTCGTGTTCGACTGAGAAAAATATCAACAAATTAATTAAATTACAATATTTATATCTACTCACTGCATCGAAAGGGAGCGTTTGCTTCCTCATTTAAGGACCCAAATCTGTCAATTTACTCTCACAGGAGGAAAAAAAATTACCTCCCGTGGGAGGTAAAATGAATGATTGGCTGATTGGCTTCAGCTTGCTCCCTTGGTAGAGATATACGTATAAAAGATCTGAGCTACCCAAGTACCTAATCAGTGTCTACTATAAAACAAATAACAATTTCATTTTTGAACTCCAATGCATGATCTCATACACTTCCTCTTATTCCAAACTAACTCAATCGAAATTTTAATGAAAATAAAATGCAACAAACACAATATACGAATTCAATGTGATAAAAGTGTCAATGTCAAATTGGTTTTCGTTCAGATTCAAATTTGTTCACTCAGGTAAATTTATGTCACTTGTTGATATATTATCCTATTCAGATAGTGAGAAAATCCATATGTATACTATTTGATATCATAAAATTTTGTTGTGGTAGTTCTAATATACCGAATTGTTGTTATAGACCGTTGGCCCATAACACTAGGGGTGTCGATTATCTACGAAGGTATGCCCTTCAAGAGACATGAAGATTGAGTTGGATTATCGGGAAAAAAGTGGCTAGTTGGATCGGTACCCGGTCGCCCATCTCCCTAATCAATCAACTTCCTGTTGAAAGTAATGTTGAAAATTGTTTTATAGAAGAAGCTTCAAAATTCATTGGAATAGTCGCATCTCGCCAAATTAACCGGGCGCTAGCCGATTTGCATACGTCTAGGTCGGTCCCGAAGGGCGGCATACGGACCGCAAGTTACCATTAACCGACATTTCTCTCAGATTATTTACGATGGTATGCCCTTTGGTTAATTCCTTCATTTCGACCCATGAATCAATGCCATAACATTTGCATACAGTTTGGGTGGGCGAATTTAGACTTATTCGAAGGTCACTTCACATCATTGACCTGTATGTACAAGATTATCTACGAAGCTCCCAAATTTTGATCAAGGTTAGTTAAGCATAAACTATGCATGGAATAATGATTTGCATACGATTTGCGAGTTGCGGGGATTACATTTAGCCCAGTAAAATTAGCAAAAATGGCGGCAAAATTCGTTCAACACCCTGTAAGAGCTCAAGATATCGACAATCAAATTCTTTCTAACTTTAGAACTTACACAAAACTCGTCCCGATTTACCCGTTTCGAGTTATTCGAGGTCGAAGTTTCGAAAAATCAGTTTTTGGTTCAAAAACCACTAAGAAACTAATTATTTAAGTTTTCTTTTCACGGATATTTGCCTAATTTACTGTTGATCTCCTCTAATTCACAGTTGCAACTGTAAATTAGGAAGGAGAATCTTTTTTTTTTCAAAACATCTCCTAATTCACAGTTGCAACTGTAAATTAGGGGATGTGTAAAAAAAAAGTTTCCCCTTCCTAATTCACGAAAGGGAACGAACACTCATTTATAACAAACATATATAACTACTATTTATGTCGAACCATTTATATCACGCGGTATATGGCTGTCTCTCTGACAATCACTGACCACCTGCTGTCCTGTCGTCCTTATATATCAGATGATTTGGCTGGCTATATGCTTGTCGAATGTTCCCGAAAATCATCGGTATCCTTCTTTTGTTCTCGAAGCTTCTCATAGAAAAGTATCTCTCTCTCTCTCTAATAGTTCCATCGATTGTTTTGAGATGTTTCTGTCGCTGCGACACATATTGGGTGTTCGAAAATATGCTGATTCATGCTAGAATTATTGGGATACTCGGGAACAATCTGATACGCGTGATACAGGAAGATCGTTATACGCCTTCTTGATGATGTTCGAGCCCCTCTCAGGGGAATATTACAATATCGTTCATGAAAATAACAAAAAACATGGGATCCAAGATTGATCCTTTAGGAACTCCCATTGTAACTCCAAGAGAATCAGATTCATAGAATCCAACAAGACTATCTGCCGGTTCTGCAAATGAGATGCGCCCCCTGACATGCGCCCTAGAGTCATCCTCTTCGATCATAAAACAGACTCATCCTCTATCATCCCCGGCCCCCGGCACTAGTAGTAGGTGCCAGATTCGAGATTAGTGACCCCGAAACCTCCCTGAGAGCCCTTGGCACTCGATCATCCTGGAATTTCCAGTTTCAACTTTTTAATATTAGAAAAACTGAAAAAAAATAGACTCCCTATAGCAAAATCGACGTATGCTCACAATACGTTCGTATGCAAACGCTATTTTCTTATCCAATATAACTGAATCTATCACCTGATTGAATGGCATACAAAATTATATAATCTTGATATATATAATCGATGATGTAAAGTGACCTTCGAATATGTCTAAATTCGCCCACCCAAACTGTATGCAAATGTTATGGCATTGATTCATGGGTCGAAATGAAGGAATTAACCAAAGGGCATACCATCGTAAATAATCTAAGAGAAATGTCGGTTAACGGTAACTTGCGGTCCGTATGCCGCCCTTCGGGACCGACCTAGACGTATGCAAATCGGCTAGCGCCCGGTTAATTTGGCGAGATGCGACTATTCCAATGAATTTTAAAGCTTCTTCTATAAAACAATTTTCAACATTACTTTCAACAGGAAGTTGATTGATTAGGGAGATGGGCGACCGGGTACCGATCCAACTAACCACTTTTTTCCCGATAATCCAACTCAATCTTCATGTCTCTTGAAGGGCATACCTTCGTAGATAATCGACACCCCTAGTGTTATGGGCCAACGGTCTATTAGAATACATTGTCAGTTATGAGTGAAGTATGATTTCACTTATTTTGAATCTGAATAAATTAATATTTTTCAGATTTGTTGACAACATGTTGTGAATATTTGGGGCCTAAAAAAAAACGAATGTCTGTGCATGAGTTCTGTGAAACATTGGCAGTTTTATTTTCTTGGTGAATTTACTCAATTTGAATTTGGAATCCTCATATATTTCTTTGAGTTTGAGTAAATCCAAGTAAGACATTTGTTGAATAATTTGGTTGATGCAGTTGAGTACATCCTGGTGTTCCTTGATGAATAATTTTTTTTTATATTTAAGTGATTTCAACCAATCTGCTCCTCGTCTTCGTCGATAATTCACATATTGATCTATCAAAATTTGATCAACCTGCGTATGACATCTAGATTAAATCAATTATTGTCAATTCTCCCAGAAAACAAAACGTAATCTTTTCAATCGTAATTAACTTAATAACACAAACGTTTTATCTTTTGAAAACATTAGAAAATACTTGAACGAGTTTTCGTAGAATATGGAAAAGTTCGATAAAATTTGAAGGACACGTAGTATTATCATTGACATTTTTTGATAGAATATTTTTTACTGTTTGCATGCGGTTGTATATCGTAAAAAAAGTTTCACTCCAAGCTGTCATACAATATATTGTATTGACTGTATAATGAATTTGACAAATCAATAAAGGATTATGATCATCACTTACATTTGAATCAAGTAGTGAAACGTAGATATCATGTGAATGCACGTTCAATTTATTAGCGTGAGCCATACTCCTTGCAGAAAGCAATGGAAGTGTGTGAATCTTTCTAGCCTCAAATATATTAATCACATTCAGTAGAGTACTCTCTTCGTCAGCTACTAAATCTTCATCAGATATGTCTGTGACAAAAAATACAAACATTAATTGAGGAATTGGTGAAGGAAAGCAAACATTTTGTTTTGCATTCATGCTTTGAATGCCACCTCTCAACAAAATGTGTTTAACTAAAGTTACCAAGTTACTTAATAGTTAGAGTACCTCGAAAATCCCATTTTACGCTCTTTAAAGAGTATGGGCAGACTTGTGATAGTGATATTGTTAAACGAACGAATAACATGAGACACAAATATGTTTTATAAGGGATGGAATATCATTCTTGATTATTCTTCTGTACCCCTTCATTGAACGAGTGCAGACATATATTATATTTGAAACCCCAACATTGGCGTAACACCAAAGGCACACAATGCTCATTGTGTAGCATCAATATTGTGTCAATGAATGTATTTCCATGGAATTGGAACTCAAATGAATGATAACCATCATTCTAAAAATTTTCGCAATTCGTAACGGAACAAAATATATTCGAAAACATTTTCGCGGATACGCCTATTCGATTTCCAGAACTGACGTTTCAAATCTGAGAATGATGACAATTCTAAAATGTCAGTGGTCACTGGCGCACTCAGGAATTTCTCTTGGGGGGGGCTCATAGAAGCCAATGAAAATAGTAAAATATATAAATTAGGGTTCAATTCTGGGAAAATGAAAAACAATGATAAACAGAATGATACATATGTAATTTCTATTAAAAAATCATTCTGAAGGTAAAAACATTTTGTGCAAAATCAACGATTCTTAAAAATCTAGTTTCCTTCTTTTAGAAGTCATATTATCTAATATTTCCTCAGGGGCACCGACATATCTTTATGAATAAAAAGTGATGCCAGACCATTCAGCCGGTTTTGCGCAGTAGTACTTCTTAAGCCAGGATTTCAAGAAGGATTGCAAGAATTAGGCAAACCTGATTATTACTCTGTTACGAACGACACTGATATTTGCGAAAAATATTTTTCTGACACTTTGTCTTGGGGGGGGCTCGAGCCCTAAAGCCCACCCCCTGGGTGCGCCAGTGTGGACCACACTCCTGAGATGTTCGAGGCACTCTGCACTAAAGTATCTGAAACTCAGATCATACAGGAAGGTGACTCCTGAAATAATTTGAGAACCGAGTTTATACAGAATCCGCTGACTCTTAATTTTTTTATACAAGTATATAAGTATTCAATATATGATTATTAGGGACCAGGTCGAACTATTGTCTCCTATGAATGTTAATATTGCTGTCATTAATAATGTTGAATCTCATAAGGTAATTACTAGTTACAAATCTGGCAGCGTCGAAATATGTGGTCCTACTTTTTATACGAAAGCCAGAATTCAGATATCGGCGATTTTGGTTTATGAAGGTGCCGAATTTCATTATTGAAAAAAATATATTTGCGATGATTTTAAATAACGAATGATTGCATCAAATACTATTTATACACGAAATGATCAATATAAAATAGGTATGTGGCGTTAATTCGTTTAGTATGTACGACCCCATTACATCAATATGAGGTCATTAAAATGTTGGAAGCATAACTAGGGTTACTGGTAATTCGATACATTCCTTTGGAGATTGAATAGGGGAGGTTGTAAAGAGTGAATTCAACCCTAATATGTATTATGCAAGTGAATAGTTTTTGAGATATTTAATTTTTTTTTTCTCCAAAAGGGAGACTTATTTGAGGGCTTAAAAGTTAGTTTCCCTAAAATCTGCTGTGTATTTTTTCAACCTCTCAATTAGCATACATGCATGATCAACACTATATAGTCTTATTTTTGTTTTTGAATTGTGGAGTTTAACACTTTCTAGCAGTTACACATTGGTTATTTTCTTTCGCTTCCTTAAATTATGTTAGTACAGCAAATCTAATCGTCAAGTTTTATTTCTTGAAAAATGTAATATTTGGCTATAGTAATTTTTTTAAAGATAACCATAATTGGGCTACTTTGTCTACAGGCTTTATTAGAAGCATGCATAAATTGAAGCCATATAAATCTACTGTTACTTTATCCTTCATAAACTTCCTCGTAGGATGAGTATTAGAACCGATATTTTGCTCAGAAGAGGGCCAAAACTTTTCAAGTTTCAAGTTCTGGAAAAAATGACTTTTTTTAAGTCCTGTATCTTGGGATGTTTCGGACCCACAAAAATGAAATTATAATCAAATGATCGGGAAAAAAAAGGAAGGTGCGAATTAATGCGAACTAGGGTGTCAGTCAGTGGCCTACAACCCTAGATCATCAGATACACCATTTAATAGTGAAATTGATTCAAATTTGAAATTACATAAGAGAATCCTTATTCTCAAATGAATCAGAGTTAGTCGATAAAATGGCCAATTTTTATTTTTATATATCCAAATTATAATAGATCGTCCTTGTGAATCATAAAATGACCCAAAAAATATGGAGAAATAAAAATTCAACCCCCTCGATTCACCTAAAGACAGTATATAATGGATAGTTTCAACACTTACCATACATAAAGGAAGATGAAGAGCAAATGTTTGTAGAGAACAGTGCTACATCTGAAGAAATTTTCAGATAAATTTCCTCGATTTGTCGACCTTCTCGATCATTACTACATCCAGGGTTCGCTAGATACTGTTTATCTTCATTGCTGTATTTTTCTTTGAGATAACTGTACTCACTGGGAGTGATCAGACATATACGTGAATTTTCAGGATGAAAATGTTCCAAATGTTGTAAACTGAGATTTAACAAACTTGTGGTTGATTCAGTTAGAACCAAAGTTACGAATATCTCATTGTTATTACCAACATCTTGCATAGTATGTTATGAAGAATGATCACACAAATGATTTTGATGAATGTAATTCTGGCAGATGAAAGAAAGATAAAAATAGATGGTTTGACATTTCAATATTTATTTCATGTTTCCACATCAACAGTGAAATATACAGAGTTTATACTGAGAAGTTCTGAATCTGCTATAAAGAAAAAATCGATATTTTAATGCAAAATTTCAAGATATCGTCGTTCTGAAATGAAACCGGCGTATCTGCAGATGACTATTTCTCACCAAAGTGCTTCAAAGTTTTTCTACTCGATTATTTCTTTATATCTACTTGGTCTTCCTCCTCAGGGCTATCTTTTTAATAACTAGAAAATTGTCTGGTAACAGAAAAATATGAAGATATGTCGGTACCTATATGATTTTAAAGTTCAAAATATGGGTATAATTTGCAAAAGTGCCTGGAATAACTGCCAATAGGCCACGCCTGTGCAGATTAGAGAGAGTTGTATTGAGTAATCATTCGGTTTTACTTACAAGCTGCAGTTTGCAGTTTTCACCACGACATCTCATGCTGGACTGACGCATTGGGCAATACAACCTGTTTACTGATTATAAAAATACTGAGTTTCGCCAAAATTCAACAACGGCACAACGGTACCTGACCAATCACAAATATAATATACATATGCCGGTTTGACTCACTCAGAGGTGAAAAAAAAATGAATTTTTTGATATTAATAACTCAAAATCCCTTCTTTGCAGATATGCTGGTTTGATTTTACAGCGACGATATATATAATATTCACAATAGGTAAGTATAAGTACAGAGTTATCCAAACTCAAATTACCATCATTTGTGACTTTGTCATCATTAAAGATGTAACATTAGTGATAGAATTCACGATCCCTCGTATTTTTCTTCATATACTTACGAAATTGACATTTCGTATGCAATCCAGGCTGGCAGTTGGATGATATATATACTAAACGTCATTTGCATTAGTACAAGATGAAACAAACGAAATCCAGAATACCCGTATTATTTAAATTATTACACTAGCAGTTTATTTAACGCTGTTTAAAGGGAGCAATTGAATCAACAATGGAGCATTGAATTTGGACGAATAATAAATATTTTTTATGAAAGCCCTTTTTTGTTACTTCAAAAACGCAATCAAGGAATTATAAATCATTGAAAAATACTGATAGTTAGGTAATTTGAACAATTCTGTATCTTCAATAATAAAAAAGTTACCAATGGCTGCAGACAATTAATTTGTATACACTATGTATGGAAACTCCATGAGAATTCCCTCTACAGGGATCTCCTGACCATACAAGAGATACGATGTGGGTTGAATTGGAAGTATTAGTCCAAACAAATGTTCAATCAACTCTCCAATCGAGTATCGTCGGAAAATGTGAGATTTGAAATCATTTTCGGAATTTTCGAAAGAATCTGGATAGTCATTATAATAATTTATGACTTGACTGGTAATATATAATGGATATAAATTGTTGCGAGAATCCGCACCATCGGATGTTTGATGGTGTACTAGTGTGGAGTGTGAAGGATAAAATGTATCAATTCTTCAATTTCCTAAAACTGACCAATCACCAGGCACTTGTGATGATAAAATGCTACCTACCTTTCTCAATAACCGATAAATATGCACCTTGCTTTCAATCAACACACTTTTATACTTTGACAACAACTGTCATCGTCACCACCGTCAGACACTTTTCAAGTTTTCTCACGACAACGTCGTTTCCCTTTCCAATTGTATTCAAATTTTATTGTCATTTGGCAAGAAATCTCGATTCAAGGAAAGTCCCTTGATTCTCGAATGTTTGCCTAGGCTTTCGAGGAACAGGCAATTTTACAGGGATAAAAAATGTGCATCTTTTATTATCGATGTCAAAATGACTCAAGTCATCGTCAAATAACGTTTTCTGTGGAGTTGATTTATCAACAGTAAAAACACAAGAGCTTTTTTTATCGGATAAATTTCTCTTGGTAACGAAAAACATTTGCCGTTCATCAATTTTACGAGAAAAACTGACAAGAAAAAATTACGAGACCGCAGGACGAGCAATTTTGTCTAATTTTTCGAGAGAAATAACTGATGGAAAATGTTTGAATTAGTAAGGAATTTTATCCAATTAAAAAAAAAGTTCGAGTGTTTTTTTGGCAATATAAATCAACGACAATATACAAATAAACAACAATAATGATTACCTTTATTGATGATTCCGTGTAACTGGTAGTTTGCGGAATTGATTTTCTCATATTTTCGTGGTTTCTTCAGATGCAATTTTCCTAAAACGGATCATCTTGCTAATTTACGCGTGAACCATACCCATCATCAAACTTGACACGACAGAAATTGGAGTGACATCAGGCGCAAATAGCTACTAGATCAAAGGAGCAGGCAGTTTATCAGCAAAGTCAAAATGACTCACGTCTTCGTCAAATAGCGTTTTCCGTGTAGAAGTTGATTTATCACTAAAAATCCCTGGTGGTCGCTTTAAGGTAATTGAAGAAATCTCATTGGTTCTTAGAATAGGCGTATTAATCAGTGAAAATGAAATATATTTTCTGATATCGATATTTTTTCGAAATCTCAATTGGTTCTCCATAATACATATCATCTTCAATTTCAGAAACAAGGAGTCAAAACCCAAAAAAAACCCTCAGTAATGAATGGAATTGAATATCTGACGAATTTAAATGATGATCTCTCTATTTGTACCCATATTGTATCTCTCTTAGTTTAGGATATCCTTGTAGACTGCATCTCACCTGCGAATGGTAAACTGATATAACATTATTTATAAAACTATAGCTACTTCTAATGAACTATCACCAATTCGTTTATATAAAAAAATCACATTTCCTAATAAATAAACAATTCATATTTGAAGGACCAGCCTAAATGATATATAGTAGGTTTATAAAAATCCCCAAAAATCTTTCTGGAATTTTGAACAGGACTGAACTATTCCATAAATGTTATACAAAATGGATAGTATGGGCGTCTTGAAGACTCTCTACAGTCTAAAATATTAAAAAAAAATTTCAACTTGCATGTCAAGAGTTCCATACACTAAAGTATGGTACTTCTTTCTATTAAAAAAAGTGAACGGGAGCATACACTTTCTGATTATACAGTGTTGAAACTTATGATGGAATAAAACCCGTATGTCCACAATAGAAATATATTTTGAAAAATCCATGGACAGGTCGATTTTCATTTTGCAAAATATATTCGTTTACTTAGAAAAGATGAACCACCTGCAATTGATCAACCCCTTCAAAATGTTTAAATTGTACAAGTGGCCAAGTTACACCTTGTTAGACAGCTCTTTTGAATCCCTGAATAAAGGTCTATTATTTTCCATTCAGTTTGGCCATATCGCAAGTGACCAGTCGAGTTTTAAAGTTTATTAAAATTTTTGTCCAACCTAATGGTGATTTAGAATCGTATTTATACTGAATACTGAAGCTCTACTTCTATGCACAATGTGTCCAATCTTCGATGCATTTGCTTTTCGCGTTCCAGTGCCACATCATCGAAAACTGGACACACTGTACAATGAAACAATACAATAAATTGGACAAAAATTCCAATAAATTTCAAATATTTCGACTGCGCTCTTGCGGATATGGCTCAGCCAAAATAAAAAACAAAATAGACCGTTGTATAGAAATTTGAAATACATCTCCAACAAGTTGTAACCCCTTGTACAATAAAAACATTTGAAGGGGTTGACCAGTAGGCTAGGAGGTTGGCAAATACTAGAAAAATTTTACGAAACGAAATAAATTTTCGAAAATAAAAATCGTCCTGTTCGAGTATTTATTAATAGTATATTACACACCGAGGTAGGAAGTGACTCATTCCTGGCGTGAGATTAGTTAGTTAACCGAGACGCAAAGCGTCCAGGTTAGCTGTGATCTCGAGACAGGAATGAAACTTCCTACCGAGGTTTGTATACTATTTTATTTACAACAATCATATTTCGATCAAAATTAATAAATCTCAGTTTCGTTCTGAAATATCTGAAATATTACATAATTGAGGGCGGGAAGTAGAGGTGTGTAATATGACACTTCCCAACCTACAACGACGTTAGTAATGACAACATTACATATATGGTTGTAAATAAAATATATTTCTGCTATGGAGATGCGGAATTTATTCCACTATAGGTTACCACGCTGTGAATATAAAGAATGTAAATCCAAGAATTTAGGTTGTATCGAGTACAGTAAATATACAAAAAATTATATAGAGGTAAAAACAGTCTACATAATAGAAATATTCACAGAAGTATCTGTATACAATATATTATCTCATTATCACTTCATTCTTCATCAAATCAACAGGGATTTATGTGAATCCTTTTTTCTAAGCATCCTGTACATTAGACTGTATTTTCATCTCCAAATCAGTCTTCAATCGAGAATAGAAAACTCAGATTTTCAATATCCATGCTGCCAATCATTCCAATTGTCGAGTACATACTGTTTTTTGTTTATGATACAAAACAATCAATAATGGAATGATCGTCTTCATATTAATGGTTTCTGAGAACCCCTCAGTATTCTTACTGAATTGAGCTCATACAACCGATTATTTCAAGTGGCAAATTCGTCACCTTACGCTTTGAAAATTCTCACTACACGAACTACATATTGTCGACAAATTGGACATTCAGCCAATTTTTTACCACAGTCTGTACACGTCGCAATATGGCCACATTCTAGCAGTACGCAATCTAGTGGAGCATCCATACACAACTTACACAATTCCTGTACTGGCATGTTTTCTGGAGTTTCTGAAATGAATGTAAGTTGGAATTGAAGTTATTGATTCAGGTTAGGTTAATGAAAAAGGCATTCTTCAATGATTTTCAATTAAAAATAAAAACAAGATGCGTGATGTGTCAAGCATTTATCTGTACATAATGTCCTATACTTTTTTTGCAATTGCATTACGTCGTTGGTCCCAGCACTGGGATCAAACGCCCCATAAGTCTAAACTTGTGCGGGGTTAGGTAAGCATACAAACACAAACATCCATGGCCCAACTAGGATTCGAACCTATGTCTTTCTTTGATGTTAATTTGAAAAACTATCATTTCATAATTACAATTTTCGAGAACATTCAAGAGATAGAATGTCATATGAAAGAATTACTAATAGGAATCCTGATTCTGGGTGAATCAAAATTTTCGCATGTTTTATTAAAAACTAATCGAAGTGCTTTGTTAATTTGCAATTTTATTAGATTGCTTGACGAAAATCCGATCAATTTCGCCATTGAGATCAAATGTGCACTTGTGAAATGTCATTGAAAAGGGCATTTTTTTGCTCTTCTGAATGGCATAAAATAACTACAGGGTTCCATTTAAAATTCTCAACCTGGGTCAATTTCCGGAAAATATGTATTTCAATGAACTAGACAGGATGTCCCTGGAACATCTGTACAAAATCTAAGCACATATTCCTCAGGTTGAAATAAATTGATTCCAAGCAATTTACCTCAGTTCGAAGTTGTCAGATGAAAACTTCTTATTCATAAAGGTTAGTAAGCAAGCCATTCATGTATCCTAACCTAACCTGGCTACATCTACAACCAATATCACTTATTCATAAACAAGACACACAAAGTCATCTTCACAAACTTATTGACTGAGTAATCAGTATCTGTACATGTACAATATCACTTATACGCGTCTCGTTGGTTGCATGCAGTTGCATAGTATTATGTATATGATCTTGTCGAAGAGAGGAATTATGAGTTCGTAGAAGAATTAGAGTATGTAACGCGTTTATAAACTCTTCTAAACACTCGTTTATTAAACACTCGGTCCGCTCTGCTGCGCTCGTGCTTGAAATAGTCCTTACTAAAAGGACGTTTATAACACTTGTTACATAATATACGTATTACCTTTGTTTTGTTCACAGCTATCTTCCCACAGTCTTTCTGCACGCTCCAGTAATTCAGATTTTTCCACACATCCTTTGAAATCGACCCTGTTTAGCGTCAATAATATCTTCAAGTCCTTCGAGGAAAGATTATGCAGTTCTTCGACACTACCAAAGTCTTGAAGTTTTGGATATTTACGTGGAGATGGACTATCATTGGCAGTTTCCTCCTTATATAACAAAGATACTCAATTAGTCCAGTCCTTAATTCACATGTGGTAATTGATCAGTAGGTATACAGTTTGTAGGTCAAGAATTCTGGATACACGATAATGACAATTTACAATGCTATTCTCATCATTTTGAAAAGAAAGCCCAATGTGTATTTTATTATTATGTTTATTATGTTTTTATTTATTATGTACCCCTCACGAGAACTTGGGAATTTGGCTTTCGGTCGAATTGACTGAAGTTTTACTATGTTTTTGTGGGATGGCTCATTACAAAATTTGTGAGTTTAAAAAGTTTTGTATGCTTAGTTTCTGAGATGTAAGCCGACAAAGTTCGTAAAAATGTCGTATCGGGGTAGGATTGAGAAAGAAAAAACTGTTTTTTAGTATAAATAAGACAAAGTAAGCTAGCAAGTGCAAGTGTGAGCTAGCCTTCTAATATGAACCAATCTTGATTTTTAATGTTGTTGCCAATCTGACGTAGTGTTGTTCTCTGGTGTTGTATCATCCATCAATATCTATTATCTCCATGTATCTATTTTTGTGTTCCATGATCTGGGTGACTTGACATTTGACAGTTGAAATTTTGTGGTGTCAGTGTCACTGCACATGTAATTCCTCCTATTTAGCTGGTTATTTCCGAAGCCACATCATACTTTTCATTAGTTTGATGTTTTCTTGGGTAATCGCAACTTTTCGGTGATTTAAGGGAACGTGGGCCCTTATAAAATATTTACCCGACCCTTGAATGACCATTTCATAAGAATTTTAAAAATTTTTATACTTTTTTATAAAAACACAATTTTACATTAACAGTAAGTTTTCCTATTCTGAACTTTCTTTACATATCTATTTAACTGTTTGTATTCCAGATCATGGAGCAGTTGCCTTTGTTTGCTCTGTTATTGTCTACGTTATTTGAATTTCAACTTTTTTCACTTCCATGTAAGTAATCAATCATTGCATTATATCCTAAGTCAATACCGGTTTTTTCTTTGAAACTTTGAACTATTTTATCGGCTGATGATGGGCTTATATAAGCCCGAAACATGTACCATTGATGATCTTTGATCATTTCAATAAAAATTGTGGAGATGACTTTGGGTTTTTCATCTATGAACTAGCAAGTGTACTTTGTCTTATTTATACTAAAAAAACTGTTTTTTCTTTGTCAATCCTACCCCGATACGACGTTTTTACGAACTTTGTCGGCTCAGAAACTAAGCATAAAAAACTTTTCAAACCAACATATTTTCCTAATGAGCCAAACCACTACAACAATTTCAGCCAATTCGGCAGAGAGTCAAAATTGAGAATAAGTTTCAATTTGAGTATCTAGCTTAGTGTTTTTATATATCTACAATCTCTGTAGACATGCGATAGTCCAAATTGAATAAAACTTGAACCACCCTGTTTTGTAGCATTTGGATTTTGTTTAATGTTGTTGTTAATAGGTATGCATAATATATACAATATTTTTAATTAGCATCTACGTTGGTTCTACTTATAGATTGCACCTATCATTGGAACATTTTTTGGTACATCTTTCAAACATGCTAACTCCAATCTAGGGATTCATCAATTGTGAGACCTGAATACTTCGTGTATTTCACTCGGTTCGAAGTTGTCTCATCTGATTTCACAGTTATTTCATTCACTACACTTTCGAGGGGGACATCGTTCTAAAATATTTTCAGCGTTGCGGCGTTGCCGCTTCTAACGAAAAGTAGTAACAACTTTGTTGTGTCAAATGAAACACCCTGTATTTCATTGCATTTTTAAATTCTGTCTGAAGACCTGAAATGAGCATTCCATGCGAGTCATACACTATACTTTTTCTGCGGCTTCAACATATGATAGGAAAATAATTCAACATCAGAAATAACATGAAATTCAAATTTAATGTCATTCAAAAACAGAGCTGTCATCAGAAGAATACTCATTGACATTCCGTGAAACAGGTAAGTTATTGTACCTATAATAACTATGATGTAAGCACAATGGAATGTTTGATCCATCCGGCCAGGAAATTAAATTGAAGACATACAATGCACCTCATTCTTTTTTCGATATCAGTTGAGAAAGAACAGTTTTGTGACATATACGTAGAAATCATGTATTATCGCCATAAGTAGGAGATTTGGTTTCTCAGGATGAAACAATGATAGATAAAAGAGTGTTGTGAAGCTAGAAGTGAGAAAAGATAATGAGCAATTCGATGAAAATACATAAAGTGAATTGTTTATATCTGATCATGAGATATTTTGCAATTGATTGTCAATCTTTTATATAAGATCAATAATCACTGTCTCCCATCGTCCAATAATTAACCTCTTGGTTAGGAATACATTTATCAAAAAATTTCAAAAATGATTGTTAAAATATCTAAAAGGAATCAACTACTTTCCTGGAATTTTGGTGTATGGGTACAATTCGTTGAATTGTAGAACATTCACATAATATTCATCCTTCGAATATTTTCTGTCCCAAAAATAACCTTTGTCCAGGAGAAAGCAGAGCATGTGCAATTTATTTGAATGATTAAGGTAACTTTCCTGATTTTGAAGCAAAATGAAGCAAAAATATTGTTTTGGGTAACTCATAGGTCTTATCTTTTGAGGGCCATTAAAAAAATGCATTGTTTCTTTTTTATCAAGATATTAAATTATTATAATACCGGACATGAATCGTTATCGTGATTGAAATTGTATTTTTCTAGAAGACTTTAGAGACATAATGACTTGGCATTGGGGCTTATTATTATCAATTATAATTGAAGGGGAGGATGAGGATTTTTGGTGTGTGCTATGTAATTATATTTATAACCTCTTTATGGAAAAATTGGACCTACTGAAAAATCATTCAATGTCTCAAAGGGTATTGACTTCGATTAGTTGAAATTTTTAGATGTGAACAACGTACCCAGTACAGTATAGTATGTTTAAAATGCAGTATGAATCTATCAGGAATGCAGAGGGTAATCGATTATAAAAAACACCACCTGTGGTTTCCTTTGAATTTTTGAATTTAGGGTAAATAATATAGATTCATAATACGAGTCATGTGTCCTGAAGTTTCTATCACGATATGAAATGAAGAACATGTCAAAGTTGACCATAATAATATAATAATAAATAATAATAATATCTTTATTGCTTCTGAATACATAGTTTTACAGCAAGGGTCAGATATAGACTGAATTTGTGACTATTAATCTAAGGGGGAGAAAAAAATTCAAATACTAAAATAGAGAAAAAAAGGGAATAAATAAGAGTGAGTTGAACCATTCCTATTCCTAACTATTTCATTCAGAATAAATGAGTTTAAGAATATTCCATATATAGCTAGCTATAATCTTCAAATCCTCCCTTGACAGACTGTCCAAGGACAAAAGGAGGTAAGAGGTTCACAGTGAGGCTTCATACTTGCATAAATTGGGCATTCAAACAAAATGTGACGAACGGTTTCATTATCATGGTGATTGCAAACTGAGCATATTTGATCGGGGTCAATCAAGTGAGACATGCCATTTAACGACATCAGACTAGTATCGGCACAGCATAAGGATTAAACAGGAGCGTCACTTGTCCTTGAAACATTGCTTTGCTCGTTGAATGGTGGCTAGAGCGGACTAGCGCGTAGCTCGTTCAACTTAAATAGCACTGTACATCCCCACAATATGGCGCGGGATGTCATGCGCGTACTTCCCACTAAGCAAAGTTGAAAGCTATTGTCACGTGTAGAACATACGGTATATTAGTAATTTCGAACCATGAGGGTTTTTGTAATGTACTGAATAACTCAGGAAATAACTATTTTCTTTATTTATTTCTTCATGTACAAATTACCCAAAATCATTCAATGACATGCATTCCAAGAATCTTGTTTTCAATAAAATCGGTATAAGCAACAACAGAATACTATCCTGATTCCAAAATTGATTTATACTGTATGAACTATAATTTAAAGATACAATACTTAACAGTTTTATAAACATAAAGTTAATCAAATCATCCGTTGACATTGAATTATAAAAACTGACCAAGGAACTTTCATGGGAAACGTGCATATCTAATAAATTGATGTATATAAATATTGGATGTGAGGGTTCCGAAGTTAGTCTGGTCTGGGGCTACTCTTGACTTGACAAGAGCTCGTCGTGATGGTCGTTATAATGTAAGTTGTTATTAGGTCTTTATATTCATTGTTGTTTATTCATATTTTGTCATTGCTACCCATAATGTTACATGTTATAATACAAATTGTTATGCTTGAATATAGTCTCATACTATCGGTATTGCTTTATTTATTACCAAACAATATTCTAGCAGAACACCACCCTGTCCTGAATATCTTCCCAAAATTCTATCTCGTATTGTTGTACATACTAATCGAATTCACGCTACATATCAATTTTTTTATTTATTTTCCATGTATTAATTGATACAGTCATTCATTGATTGAAATCATCTCAAATATATTTTTTCAATGATAAAAATATCACCTCAAAAACGATAATTCCCGATGACGTAATATACCGATAAGCACCAGAAGTGTCTCATATTCCTCTACAATCAATGAAAATAATGCCACATTCCACATAGAAATTAGTATCCACTTCCATAGTAGGAGTGTACTGAGATATACATAATAAATAAGCCGTATCGAATATCAGTTGCATTGGATTGATCGTGGTATATGTTATCATGCGTTGTCCCGCATTTTCATGTTATGAATAATTATTTAAAAAATTAACAGAGCTCTGAAGAAAATACGGTTTGCGACACTGAACTAGTTTGGGTTAGTACTTCAAAATAATGAAATACAATTTTTCACTGAAACAGTGGAAGTTATCCGTAAAAATAATCATGAAAATTGCCTTCAAGAGTGGAAAAATTCATTCAAGATATTTGTTCATCTCAAATACCTACGAAATCAAACAATTCCTTCACAAGTTAGAGTCCACTCGCCATCAAGCATTAAAAATAAAATCCTTCGTT